GGAAACCGTTGCCAAAAGTTGTCGTAGGATTTGTCTTGGCTGCATGGGTCAAAATGGGCACAGAATATGCCATCAAGTAGGTGGCAAGCGTTAGAGCGCCGTAGTAACCGGACCAATGGCTGAAGAAAGTCAAAAACAAAGCACCAACGGTACCAATGATATAGACCCCCCAGCTGCTTGCAAGCCTAGGCTGCCAGACTCCGCCGAACAGACCCAGCGACATAGCAAGAACAGTGAGCCAGCCGTGTGTAGAGAAGTATGGGCCACGAATGGGATAACCCTCCCATCCCCAGAGGATCATGGTGCTGGTATCAGAGAGCAAAGAATGGAGGCCAAAGAACAACCCAGCAAGACCGAGTGATGAAAGGAAACTCGAGCTACTCTTGGCAGGCCGCGGAGCCAAACCGGCAGCGAGGGGTGCTCGTCTGGTGAAGCGGAGGGCGGCTAGAACACCCAGCACAAGACCAGTGTTGTTCCAACCGCCATTCGCAGCATGCATAATAGGCCAAATAGGGTTATTCGTCCACCACGCAAACTTGGCAGTAGATGATAGAATAAGACCAATCATCCAACCCAGGATCTTGGATTCAAGGCGGCCCTCGTGAACTGACTCTGCAAAAAGAGTACCGGCCCACCCCAAGCACGACATAAAAACGCCAAATCCAACCGTAAACAGGCGATAACTGGGTTCCTCAACCAGATAGGCTGCGATGCCCGCGAGAGACAGAAGGTGTACTGCGCGCAAGTTGTTTACCACAAGAGACCGAGCTGAACGGCTAGCCAGAATGAAGGGCGAAATCGTTGTCATGACCAAAACTTCGTATCCTGAAATGCCCATGTACCAAAGCGGGAAGTCTGATATTGAGTTAGGCTCACACAGGTCTCAATCAACAATCCAGATTGACTTACACCACACTACAAGCCCCAGACTAGTCAGAATAGTCCAGAAAACATACTAAGATGGGTCAGCAAATCGTCGTTCCCGCCCAACACAGAAAGCTTACTCCATGATAGACTTCAGCGGCAATATCAAGTGCCTCGGGCCAACTGAAGCGAACAGCAAAAACACCGCCTGTTGCCTTTTCCTTTCTAAGGACTTGGTTAATGACAATCTTCTCCTCACGCTAATTCTGTACTTACTCCTTTTCCAGGACGGCGGATGGGATAGACGACAGGTTCTCACTGCAAAAGACTTAGACCATGGCCTGCAAACATGTATATTTCGCAAACGGCTGTTCTGGAAGCCAAAGACTATCTGGGAAGCCATTGAACGTACCCCTTGCTCGCACCCTTGATATCTCTAACCTCAATAGCGAAGGTACTGAAATCGAGAGCCGTCACGGCGTCGAAGGCCACATCAAGGATGATCAAAGACCACTCGAAGAAGGCGTAAGTCGTGTAAGCTGGTTTATAGTGTTAGTGGGCCAAATTTCAATGGCGTTTAACCATTGTCTTACCTCCAGCGACACGATGCACCTTGTGCTGAATGAAGAAGTAGATCAGTGGCACAAGAGTGCCGAAAAAGGCAGATGCCAAGTATTTGCGATATTTGATGGCCTGAGAATTGGCGGGGCTGAGTGCGATACAGCCAGTCGTCCACGGAAGCGTCGCAACAATGTAGGAAATCATGAGAATATCATGCCAATCGTGATCGTCTGTAGATGTAATGTATGTCCAGCCGCCACAGGTTAGAGTTCGAAGTAGGCCCATAACAGCAACGAACGTAGGCAGCTTCTGGCCGGGCTTTCGCGTGAGGAGATACCATAAACCGACAAGGGCAAACCGAGGACCTGGGAGCTATCAGTACAATACGGATATGGTCCAATTCGATCGATTATGCTGTACCGGATGTAATGGCAATGAAAATCATGAAGAACGATCGCTCGGGGTACCGATCGCCAATCGTCGCTGAGACTGAGGGGAACCATTCTTGCGGATAACCGTAGAACTCATTCTGTACGATCTTGTGGTAGTGTAGGTAAACACCAATAACCAATGCACTAAAGAAAGCAGCTAGAACACCATGAATCAGCGTCTCAGTCATCCAAGTTGCATATCTACAACGGAGGAGGATGCAACAACATACTATACGCGACAGCAGTATGCGCCCAACTGACCAAACTTCCATTGAAGCTTAGGACAACGCCTGTATCTTTGTCCTTGTATTTTGAAGCCATTTCGAAGGAGATAAGGACTGAACAAACTCTCTAAAATCCCATCCGGGCGATCCGGGAACCAAGAGTCAAAATCTCAGAACGAGCGACGAGAGAAAACGATCATGCAAGTGGTGAGATTCACTCTCAGACGGGACAAACAGACCTCGGAGCTTTGACGTTACCTCCACCGCGACGTAATACTTGGAAGTGTAATTGCTAAGTGGAGACGGACCGGGGCAGGGGACACTCGGAAATCGATATTATTTTTTGACACTGGCCCGCGCGCTCCTGAAGCGAATCAAAGGCCAGGGACTCCAAGCGAGAAATAAACAGCCTAACGTTAGACGGCGATTTCCATTTTGGCTCCCGTCGTCGCGACCACCACGAGGCTGAAAAGTGCCCCGCAAAAAAAGTTGTTGATCTGCCAGCCTTGTCGGCAAAAAAACTTCCTAAATTTGCTGTCTACCTTCTGAACCATACTAATACCTCTTGGTCGCATAAACGCAAGATGGCTGGCGTTGCTGATAAGGCGAGATTCTATCTCGAACGCGCTGTACCGCAGCTGCGAGAATGGGAGGAGAAAGAAGTTTTTTCAAAGGTAATTGCGTTCTGACTTTGCTAGAGAACATTGTCAACTAACCCACCATTTTCGTAGGATGAGATTCGCACAATCGTCCAAAAGCGCAACGATTACGAGCACAGAGTTCTCTCACCTGGGAATAAGCCATCGGATTGGTCTTCGTACGCGCAATGGGAGCAGTCCCTTGAGTCCCTCCGCAGCAAACGCTGCAAGCGTCTCAAAATCCGACACCTCCAATCTGCCCATGCTGGCCAGGGCCGTACGCTTGCGATTTACGAGCGAGGTGTCAACCGACATCCAGGAAGCAGTGCGCTGTGGAGGGAATATCTTTCATATACGTCCAGTGTCAAAGCATCCAAGCGCTGGCGCAAAACCATGACCAATGCTCTACGCATGATGCCTACAGACCCTGAGCTGTGGGCAATGGCAGGTCGAAGGTCAGCAAAGAATGGCGACATGGCTGCCGCGCGTGGGTTTTTCATGCGAGGTTGCCGCTTCTGCACGACGAATGAAAAACTCTGGATTGAATATGCACGAACGGAGATGGAATGGCTTGAAAAGGTTGATAAGCGCAAGGCGGTCGCAAAGCCCGGCCAGGATGTTCTCCGGCCTGATCGTGAGGAGGATGGCGACGAGCTGCGACTTGTGGATAGTGATGATGATGAGGACGACGATGATCTTCCCGAGCCATCCAACGCCCAGGCCAAGGTTATTGACAAGCAGACGGCTCAGCATTTGAAATCAAACCCTGCCATGGATGGCGCTATCCCTATGGCTATCTTCGATATCTCAAAGAAGCAGGCCTTCTTCAGCGCCAACACTGCAGAGGCATTCTTTGACCTCTTCGTGTCTTTCACACATGTCCCTGCTCAGCCTAGGATATCACAGCATGTTCTGGATGCCCTTGATCAGGAGTATCCCAACCACCCAGCCACATGCAACGTCCACATTCGCCAACCTATTATGGGCGTGAACCCACAGACAGCAGAGTTTCCCAAGAACCTCAGAGAGGTACTGTCACGCTTGAACCGGTACCTGGAAGCCACAACAGATCGCACGGAATTACAGAAGAAGACCGTCGCATGGATAGATGGGTATCTTGCGCTGGATGTTTTGGATGAGGGTATTCGGGCAGTTTTGGAACATACCAAAAAGAAGATGGAGTCCATTTAAATGGGTATGAATAGAGCTAATTATCATTTCTTCAGTTGCCTTTTAAATGCTATGGTCAAGATTTGAAGGTGCTACACTTGTACTATGTGGTTACGCTAGAAATCAACATGATACATGCACCTTGTTCCTGTTGCATTGGCGGCAAATCTTAATCGTGGATACCATACTGATAGTCAGAAAAGGGAGGAAAAAGACAACAGGTAAAGAGACAGATATCGTGACGGCGGCTATAATTACTGGAAGAAGCACTTTTTTGTTCTTCTTTTTTTTCTTTCTTTCTTTTTTAATAAACACAGTCCTGGGTTATAAACTGTAGATTGCATAATCGATATTTGAATATCCGCCGTCTTGGGAGGCTAAGGTAGGGAGAGCTGAACTTCTAAGAACTTAAAGCCCTAAGTGACAATTATGTAGATTGTATTACTAGGTATGTAGAATAATCAATGATGAAATTAGCAGGCTGTTCAACCACATCATTTTCTTACCCTACCTACCTAGGCTAAGGTCCGAAGTCTCTGATATCCAGAGGCCAGGAGAGACTGGGGATCGCTTTGTGGTGGTTGCAAGGCCCCGGCCCGATATTAGGGTGACCCAGCGTTTTGGGATCATCCCGTCAAGGAGGAAGCCGTTGTGGGGCTACATAGCAACTATAGGGAAACGAAGAGCTGAAATGAGCAAGTCAAAGAGGTGGCAAGCTAAATGAGACTGAGCAGCTTTTATCGGGAATCATTTCGGTAGCAACAAGAACAGTGCATTCAGTCGATATAATCTCAGAGTCAAAATTGATATGCGGGAAGCATCGCATCCACCCACCAACAGATGTTGTTTCCTGAAGAGGGCTCCATGCCACGCGATTGTTGGTCCCGCAAGCGACTGGAGCCGTCTATTGATGGCATCATGCATCATGTAACTTGTATATGCATGGGGAAGCCAGAACGGCATCTGGGCCGTTTTATATGCAGGCTTCTGTACGCTGCCTAGTACCTCCTGACCGTCCAGCCATGACACGGTCCCAAGCTCCAGGGCTGATATGATGCTTGTTCGGAGGTGACCCAGAGTAATGATTATTTCTCTTTTTTGGCGAGTTTTACGTTCGATCCTCAGGACCTGCTGGGATTGGGACTGTCTTATTTATCAATTATACGAGATGCGTTTTCTCCCAAAGTCTCAGGGCGTCAATGGTTCAAAAGTTAATGAACGGCAATTACACGTCGATCATGTTGGGTAGGAGAAGGTCTTTTGCCTTTTGGGGCGAGACAGATCTGCAACCATCACAGATGGTTGGCCCAGCCCTGTCCATGGATTGCTTACCCTCACGTCCACTTCCACCCACGAATGACTTGGCTGACCAGCCAGCAAAAGACACTTTTCACGAGAGATAATGTGAGTAATCCGAGGCAGAATTGACTTCCTGTAACCTGCAGCACGACAAACTATTCGCCACCGGCCCCGTTCTCCATCAATGTGGGGAGTTCACGACAGGGGAAGAAGAGCGACCGAGAAGCACATGGCATGTAGGGCGACTGGATAAGGCGCAGTTCACGGCTAGGAAATGAGGGGACTTGAGAAACCGATTTCAGGAGGGATTGGGAGGGGAAAAGAGGGGAAGATTAAGCCTTTTTCTATGATAGCGAGACCGCTTCTTTGCAATTCATACTTGGTGAGGCAAAGTCAGTTCATCTTCCAATCTTTGTAACAGTCTGAGGTGGAGGATCCATGAGCCTATATGGACGTGTTCAGTCATCACCAGCAGAATTCAACAAACCTAAGAACCACCCACAAAAGCATAGTTGAAAGATTCTGCCAAAGTAACAATCGTTGATCGAAACTGATTACTGTTATTAGGGCCGTGGCACAAGCAGGCCCTGCCAAGTCAGTCGCCCACCTCAAAACAGCGCGTGGGTGATCTGGAATCGTACCGTGCAGTACAGTGCGCAAGCGACCCTAGGTGTGAGTGGGTGGTCGGATCGTGAGTGAGAAATGAGAGGATCAGAGGTTGGAAAACAAAAGGAGACCTGGAGAAACAACGAAGGGAAACGAAGCAACATGTATTCCCTCAGAGCCTAGCCCATGGCCCGTATCGATATACCTTTTTCTAAATGAAACCTCATCAGTCAACTTCTCGTGGTTTCGCTGGTCAGACTCAATCCTTGGTCCCATCTTGAAGATGAACGGCAGACATGCGCCACTCAGGAACCACGGCTTGACCAGATAAGTGTGTGAATAAGAGTCTGAGAACAAATGAAATAAGATACAGATTGACAATAACTTTGAATAGGAGCAACAAAATTGGAGCATATTTGAGCGGAGAAAATTTCGTTAATCAAAGCCCCCGAAGTGAGAGCTCAAGTGAGGTCGCAAGCCCAGGCACAGCACAGGCTGGTCGTTGGCGGTACGAAAGGCAAGGTAAGGTAAGGTATTTCACATAACTACCCCCCTTCCCCCGTTCCTTCTTGCTGCCCATTTCCCGCCTGTTTTCCCCTCTCAAACCTTTTGTACCTCTTCTTCTTGACTGCTTCACTTATGAAACCTCTCTTTTCGACGTGTGTTGCTGTCGTACGCACGCCTGTCTTTTGGCCTGCTCACTTATACAGACGCGGAGCCATCTCCAAATTGTCGGGTGGTTTTCAGGGCACCCCGAGCCGCTGGGCTGGGTTGTAAGTGGGATGGCAGTTCACTCGATTGCAAATCCATTTTTGACACGACACGCTCACAAAGCCAGCGAAAACAAGCATGATTTGACCAAACAAACGACAAACGAATGGATTTCACGAAAATCGCGACAGCCTTCACCGGCACCTCAAAGACAGCCCAGAACGAACTTGAGACGGCGCTGGCTGTTCTGGCCATGACGGCCTGCCTGACAAGGATCCATCCACTGGCATCCACTCGGGAAGCGCCAGTGGTGGGTGGACAGCCCGCATCAGGCGCCACCGCAGACAATCCCCGGACTCAAAGCCGATAGCTCTGTGTCTGCGCCTCTTTCAAGTAGAAACAAGCAAAGACAAGTTCATGTTTCTCTGACCCGAAAGAATGGTTATGGGGCATGCTGGCTGTTGATTTGGGCGAATAGCACCTGCGCAGTCGCTGTTCCGAGGGGTTTGTCCTGTTCCTGGCGGCGAATGGCCCGTTTCTCTGTATGGGTCTGCCTTCGCGGTATGGCCGTGGAGGGTCACCCCAATGGAAAGCTATCCCAGCAGTTCCGGCCATTGCTATGGACACAGGGGCCAAAAGGCCTGCGCACAGCGCAGTCAGCTATCGCTATCGATTGTGGTTGACTTCGTTCTCAATGAGACAGCGCCTGCACAAGTGTGTTAAGGCAATGCTGGTCTCGAATGAATCGTTACATTGGGTATTTGGCCCGAAATTGTGCGACACACATACTACGTGCGCGCGCGGATTACGTCCACTGAGATACGTGGATAAATACAGGAGCAGATTGCTGGACGATTTGCACATGAGGCGTACTACTTTGACAGCACCGATATACTCTTCGAGCTTGGGCGTCAGAATGTCTGCAGTTGCAACAATGGTTCAGTGTTTTTCTCCGGTGCTTACACTACGAGCTTGGAAGCCTTTCGCCAACCTGTTTCGATATCGACCTGAAGGTCTGTAGCAATTGAGAGTATCAACTGAAGAAAGTAGCTCAGTTGCAACAAAACAGTCGGACCGGAGACAAGATAATGGCAAAACTCTCGTCACGGCGTTTCCAGGCCAGCTTCAATATCGCCAGAAATCAATAGTCAATGTTTGCCATGCAATCATGGACTGAGCTTCATCGATGACTGGCAGAAGCAGTCCCCATGAAGCCATGGGGCACTTTGATCGAAAGCCTTTGTTCGTCTATCAGCGCTTGTTGTCACATGCAACATCGCTAGGAATGGCGTTTCCCAGTTTTGTATGGAAAAATGGGATAGCAACATGATAGCAGACTCGGGCCCGCTGTTAGAAGTTGCTATCACTTGCTATGGTAATCTTATCTGATACCGAGCTAGCCTTACTTTCTCACTAACGCAAACAGCTGATTCGTCTAGGTGCGCACGAGTGGCTTGACTTCAAAATGACGCTATACCAGGAACAGTCAAGCACCGCGCGCTGCAAAACAGACTCAGCCTCCCCCCGACTCTCAGAGATGTCTTCGCCGTTCGCTGAAACCCAGGCCAATCCATTCAGACCTGACCCGACTCGACGAGCATCCATTGCAGTTTATCGCAAACTCACTGCAAACGCGCTCTCACTCTTTGGCTTAGGTAAGGCTATCATCTTTCTATTGAATCTCAGCATCATTTCATGCATCCAGTAGAATCTCCGCGCCAGTGGACGATGGAATGCGATAGATAGAGTTGTACGCTGTCGCTTCTCCTCGCTTCGCTTCACTTTTGCCTGCCCATTCGCATCCACTATTTCTCTTGTCTTCCCTTCCCCGTTGGTCACTCAGCGAGCGGCAGGTTTCATTGGCTAGTCGAGGTCGCCTGCGCTTGGTTTGGTCTCAGTGCTGCGCGTCCTTGCCCTCCCGAGCACCACCTCCCCGGCAGCCCATCGACCTGGTGCTGCTACTGCTGACGGAGACCCGCCCAGCGAAAAAATTCTCCCTCACTGGCTGGCTCAGCTCGGCCATCACCCTGCTCTCCACTGTTGGCGGCGTCGCTTGCTGGGTTGCCTGCTGAAAAGGTGGCTGCTAGCCTGCTACAGTGCTGTCCGTTGTCCGCTGCCCGTCCGTTTGCTCTCTTGCTTCCGTCGCGCGGCTTTCGCTTTCTCCCTCTACCTTTCCATCCATTCTCACCCGACCCGTCATTCCCATCTATCATCTGCCGCTTGATTGAAGCGCGTCGCCCTGCACCGACCACCGTGCCAACCAATCCAATCTGGGCGTTTTTTTATTTCCCACTTTCCTGTCCCCTTTGCCTAAGCCCATTCCCAGTACTGGCAGGCTGACACAAGGTCTTCTCGCTGGTCTGGTTCTGGTTCGGTCTGGTCTCTCGCACTACACTGCTCTCCACCAAACCCACGCCGCGACGCGACTTGTCCCATCACCACCGTGTCACTGCCTCATCTCCCACTCATCGCTTCCTATCTCAGCCTTCCGTCATTGTATCCTCGTCTTCTTGGCGCTCCTCCATGGACGCTTTTCGCGTGCCTGCTGATCGCTAACTCCGTCGCGCATAGTCTGTTGGGTCGATCGCCATGAGCACCTGGATGAACGACGCCGTCCCCAACCACAATGGCAACGGCTTTCCACACATGAACGACTCTAACGCTGCCGGTAACATGATGGATCCTTCCGCTTTCATGGCTAATCCGGGCCAATTCAATCCTGCTCAGTTTAATCAGCAAATGGGCGGCGCCATGGCTAATGGCCCTGGCTCCATGCGCAATGCTTCACCTTCTTTTCAGAATCCTGTATACCAGACCAATTCCGTTATTCCATCGAAGCGGCCTCGCCCTCGTGAGGACAGTCTCGCTGGCTCTCCTAGCCAAAATCCCGGAATGCTTCCAACGTCGCGCTCTGAGACGCCGCAGCAACAACCATTTGCTGGAGGCTTTCAACCCGGCGCGGTTCAGCAAAACCCTGGCCAGTTTTCTCATCTTCAACCTAATGGTTCCGCCAATGCGAGCCCCTCCCCGATAATGAGCAACCAAATGCGACCAGGAAGTGTTCCTCAACGGGTCGCGACCGCGTCACCGCACCCATTCTCTCCCAGTGGTCAGCAATTCAACCCTCAGACGTCACCGATACCATCCGAACATGGCACTCCTCAGCCAAACCCCTATATGCAAAATATGGCTCAAGGCTTCAACCCAAATTTTGCTCCATCACCTTCGAACGCGCGACCTTCACCAAATCCGAATGCGATGACCGGTAACCAAATGATGGCGCAGCAGATGAGTCAAATGCCGCAACATATGGGCCAGATGCAAGGCAATATGTTCCCCCCTCAAATGCAGCAGGCTCAACAGCAACAAGGCACACCACAGCAACAAGGCCAGCAGCAACAAGGGCAACAAACCCCTCAACGCCCGGGCATGATGGACGCGCAGAAGATGGCCGCCTATCAGATGAGACTGCAACAACAACTGCAAGGCAATACTCAAATTCAAGCACAGATGCAGGCGCAAAATATGGGCCGCGGTATGATGCCTAATAAGCAGGTACCTGGAATGCCTAACGGCCAGATGCAACAAGGAGGCATGAGGCCTCAACAGAGGATGATGGCCAACGTGAATCCTGAACAATTTATGAAGAATCTTACGACACTAATGAACTCAAAAGGCTTGCAATTGGATGCTAATCCCATGGTGATGGACCGACCAGTTAATCTCATGGTGTTGTTTCAAGCGGTTCAGAATAAGGGAGGATACAAGCAAGCAACTACGACCCCTAACGGCTGGCCCCATGTTGCTCAGATGCTTGGCTTGCCACCTCAGAATCCTATTGTTCCGCAGACGTTGAAGACGATCTATGAACGCAACCTTTATAAGTTCGAGGAAGTGTGGATCGCTCAACAGCAGAAGCAAAGGATGATGCAACAGCAACAACAGCAATCGCAGCAACAGTCCCAACAGCAACCGCAACAGCCACAAACCCCAGGCACACTCATGGGACAAGCTACTCCACAGAAGCAGATGCAACCTGGACAACAAATGACCCCTGGGGCCATGGGCCAATCTGGGCCGCCAGCTCAAATGCAACAAACTCCCATGAAGCAAATGCAACCAGGACAGCCTCCAGTTAACGGATTTTCCACGCCTCAGCCTCAGATGCAGCCACAGCCTCCAGTGATGCCAGGCCAAAATCGCACGTTATCACAAACGATCGACGCTTCTGCGGTGCCAGAGTTCCCGGGCGCCCCCTCTCCAGCAACCCGTAGGGCTGGAAGCATGTCGCAAAACGAAGGACGTCAGGCCTCAGCAGCACCTGTGGTTGTGGAGAAAATGCCTCGGCTCGCACCTCAAACTGACGAGTACAGCCCTTGTGCCCGGGAACTATCAACATTTGGCGGTGTTGACTTGAATGCGTTTAGCAAACTTGGAGCGGAACTCGAACGCTGGAAACCCGATGTACCTCCTCTTCAGGAACTGGGGAACATCGATATCGGTGCTCTTACTAAGAGTTTGCAGAGCGGGATTCATGGCGAGACACGCCTAGCCCTTGACGTACTGGCAGCTGCATCGTGCTCCATGAATCAATTGCATTTTATTCAGCTTCGGTACTGTGACGAGCTAATAGAGGCTCTCATCGAATGTGCCGAGGATCAAGTGGAGATGCTGGCTGAGCATACAGCCGAAGTCTCCGATGAGATTCAAATATCACCATACGAAGACGTCTTGAGGGCCTGCCGTCTTGAACGGTTTAATATTCGAGATCTGCCAGTGTTTGGCACTCAAGAGTATGAGCTCGACCGGGCCGTCGACCGTCTAATATGCGTCACAACTATTCTTCGAAACTTGTCGTTCCCTGGCGAACAGAACGATAATCATTCTGTACTTGCGGATGAGATTGTTATCAAATTTGTCTGTGCTGTTATAAGATACCTCGGTACCCGAACTATGCTTCTTCGATCACACAACAATACTCTCGATTTCATGAAGGATGTTGTAATTTTACTCTCCAATATTGCAGGGTCTGTAGAGATACCTGGACGCGAACAGGCTCTCTGCCTCTTGCAGTTTCTTCTGGCATTTGCCCCGGCGCCCAACCCTACAGTCTCAGACGGAACCTTATTCTTTACGCAATACGAACCAAGCTTGCACGCCTACCTGCCACATGCTGTCGATGCACTTGCGAAGCTACTAGCTCGTGATGAACCCAATCGGGGTCATTACAAAGCTGTCTTCGTACTCGACTCGAACAGCAGCCCTCCTTATGAATTGCTTACTCGTGCCTTCGGCTTGGCCATAGCACCCATACCGGATAAGGCCAGGACACAGACGAGACAACCTAACCTCCCATCCCTCGTGGAAGTTCGAAAGCCTTTCTTGATGCAAGGGCTTCTTTCTGCTGAAATCTTGGCTTCGCTTGCTCCGGGTCACGACAGCGGAGTCGCCCAATCTTGGCTATCATCTGGCAATGATTTCGCCCAGAATCTATTCAGGCTCATCCGGGAGCTCAGTCAACTGTACGAGCAACCGCAAGTTCAAGGTCCCCGAACAGCACCCCGAAAAGACCCTGAGCTGGTGTATATCGTTGTTGTTGCGGTTGCTCTGTTAAGACGACTTGCTGAGAAGGCCAGAGATCCCAACGATCCAACGTCATCCATACCCGCCAAAGCTATGCCAGCACCTCATGCTTTGCTTGAAGCGTTGTCAATGCAATCTGCTGAATGGTCAAAGGATGAAGTATTGCAAAAGCTTTCAACCTTTTTTGCTCTTGGGAGGTGATAGTCACATTGGGATTATATTTTTTGGATCAAATTCTACAGCATTACCCCATCTTCAAGCTTGTACGTTAGTGTTTTGAGAAACATGGGATTGGTGTCTTGTCATTTGAAGCGTGCGCTTCTCGTTTAGACTTGCATTCTGGAGTCGATGGTTTGGGGACAAGACAGGTGATGATGAAACTGCTTGTCTATGTACAGGTGTATAAAGGAAGTTGGAATGGTGAACAAATTCAGACATTAGGGACAAACAAAAATATGCTTCTATGATGCGCTCGCATTACTACATGTATTGTACATCTTGTGTCGCCCCTGATGGTGACTGGTCAATATGATACAGTTTTGATTCCTCCCATGTGTTTGGTCGAGGATAAGACCTGGCTAATCTCTGTATACACCACTCATGGCCGGCTCTTCAGAAGCCGGTCTTCAGGATCCACTCAACTGCCTTATCGTAGACATGACCCTGGAACAATTAGTCGTCTGTCGAGAGCTCCAATGTTGGAATTGATTACCTTGATCTCCACATGTTGTGTTGTAGGATTTAATCGAATATCCACTGGTTTAATCTCCAAATCCCTAGCCAAGTCCTGGATAAACTTGGAGCGGTCTCCATCAATCTTCTTAATGATGACGATCATGCGGTTGCCACCAGACATCCACTTGCGGTATACAGGTAGCTGGGAGGATGGCGTCCGTCGAATAACGTAGCGAAGGGTTGCGCCGAGTTTCTCGGGGTTTTTGGATACTGGTGGAGGGACGAATGGTTGCTTGAGTGGGCGATCCTTATATGGAATCTTGTTCTTCCTGTTGGGGTTGACGGGCTGTCGGAGAGGGTTGGGCTTGTATGAGACGTGTGTTTTGAAGGTATTCGTTGAAGATGTGGCGGCCGCGGAGTAAGACGCTCGTTGTGTGAAGATTGCTGGCTTCTGGGCAATGGCCTGGCGTCCTATTGACAGGACTCTGGAGGTAAGGAAATGCATCGTGCGTTCGGGTATTGGAGAGAGATTGTAGGATAGAGCTGTTTTCCGTCGCAAGGTTCTTTGCTTTGGCGATACCGCGGAACGGAAGACCCGCAAGAGATATGCAACGTAATGCCCAAAATACAGTCTCAATTGATTTCGCTCATTAGCTCTTGAACATGCCACACTCTGTCTGTCGGTGCACTCTAAACGTAACAGAAGGCTTGCCGCTGATGGAAAATCTCAAGATCACATGACTTCTTATCTCTAATCGTCGGTAAATTCACGGTCGGTGCGATAAGCTGAAACCCCACACCACGGAGTGGATTGGCGAAATTCACCAAAAATCTGAGGTGTTCGTGCCCCTCCATCAAACCCATCATCACGACCTTTGCGGCGAGTCACTTTTCTGCCCTGTCCGACCGAACCCTCGTCCGACCGATTTTTAACGACTCCCTCTTCTCAAAGACATCACCCAATATGGAGGACGTTCTCAACGCCGTCTCGGCCGACGGCTCGTCGATCATGCCCCGCCTTGCGCCGCACCTGAGCCGACACCTTCTCTTTCCTCTGATCCAGTTCGAGAGTGAGAGAGCCGAGGAGCAGGGTCAGGATGCCAAGGCAAAGGAGATTCTCTCCGGAAAGATTAAGCTCCTCGAGGACACAAACATGACCGATTACGTTGCGACTCTCTACTGCGAGCTCCACGGTGTATCAGAGGCCCCCGAGCAGTACAACAAGAAGAGACAGGAGGTGCTTTCACAGCTGGAGAATTACGAGCAAGCCACCGCCAAGATCGCCGATCTCTTGACCCAGGACGAGGTCGTCAACGGACTCCGAAGTGACAAGGTTGCCAACTTGGAGTTCCTCAAGAACCAGCACGGAGTAAGTAGCCTGAGAGCTCTCTAGTCGCCATGGTCAAAGATATCTAACAGGCTTGTCACCAGGTCACCATGGAAATGGTCAACGCTCTCTATGACTTCGGTCAGTTTCAGTTCCGATGCGGGCAATACGGTCCCGCTGCCGATATGCTCTACCAATTCCGAGTCCTGTCCACCGATAACGATAAGGTCTCTGCTGCCACCTGGGGCAAGCTTGCCTCCGAGATCCTCCAGACCAACTGGGAGTCTGCTGTCGACGAGCTCAAGAACGTTAGGGAAAACATTGATTCCAAGCTCTTCAATAACCCCCGTGCCCAACTCGACCACCGAACGATGTTGCTCCACTGGTCTCTTTTCCCCCTCTTCAACTGGGAGGGTGCTCGGGAACCTATCTTGGACATGTTCTTCTCCGCACCTTACATCAACACCATCCAGACCTCTTGCCCCTGGATCCTGCGATATCTGATCGCCGCCGTTATCACCGGCCGTGGCCGTGCTCGCAACAGCTCCATCCAACAAAAGCAGATCAAGGACATTATCCGTTATGTCCGACAAGAAGCTTATGAGTACACCGACCCTATCACACAGTTTGTCAACGCCCTCTACATCGCCCACGACTTCGAGGCTGCCCGTGAGGCCCTCTCCATGGCCGCTGAGGTCTGCCGCAGCGACTTCTTCCTTGCTTCTTCCGCCGATGCATTTGTCGATGCTGCCCGACACCTCATCTGTGAGAGCTACTGCAAGATCTTCAGCCGAATGAACATCCGCGACCTTAGCGCCAAGCTCGGCCTGAACCCTGACGATGGTGAGAAGTGGATTGTCAACCTGATCCGTGAGACTCGATTGGACGCCAAGATCGACAGCCAAGATGGCACCGTTGTGATGAACCACCCTCCCAACAACGTCTACCAGCAAGTTATTGAGAAGACTAAGGGTGGTTTCTTCAGGACACAAGTCCTCAACGCTGCTGTTTCAAAGTAGAGACCATAGCTAGTTGCGAATGGTCTTTTTATATGAGTGTTTTCTTTTTTGCAACGGCTCAAAAGGGCCAATGCAATTCAAAGCGAGGGGCAAGATACCTCGACCAGAGGGTTGCGCCCTCCGTTACCAGGAGGAACAAGATATGGCCCCTTTAGTTTAGAAGGAGGCTGATCTTTGCAGAGGATGAGCAGGATATAGCAAAGCATAAGACGGGGAGACAATGATAGAGCAGCGAGGCAAAAATGACAAACACGGGCCAAATGGAAGAAGCGGCGGTTTTAGAGGCCCTGTATATCCCCGGTGATGCGGTTTGCATTGCATGGCGTTCTCGGAAAAGGGAAGAGGCAAGGGGGATAATGGAATTTAAGTTGATTGTTGAAATGAAAGCAAGCACTCCCATCAGCTGGGATGTATTATTTCTGTGAAGACCCTCATAAACGGTTTAAAGCCATGAAGCTCTCCTTATTACGAGCTAGATTTTTGTCTATCGTTACTCTCGTAGCTCATAACCACATCTGGTCCTTTCCTCTACAATGCCCTATCCACAGTATGCACTTTCATAACTATACTGGTCCAAAGCTGTACGTGCGTGTTGCCTCACTACAGCCAGTTGTCAATGCTCGCCTTCACGACTTGCGAGCCATACCATGCCTTTCAGGTTCTCGATGACACTGTCTCGCATCCACCAAACACCCCCATCCTCCACTGTAGCATCTTGATCATCTTCCCGTTCGACTTCACGACGTACGTGTGACTCTGTGATGGTCTCTTGACTGTCGAACATGTTGGTACCTCGTAGTCGATCACGTACAGAAGCCCATTCGAACAGCAACCTGGCTCCCTCCAGACGCTCCCGATCTGTGCCTTCGGCAATGCCTTTCGCCATCTCCAGTCTGGCATCAACAGCACTGCCTGAGTGCTGAGTGTCATCACCTCGCTCGAGCACTATGGCTCGCTCGGCGTAACTAATACCACGCAGACCTTCAAGTCCAAAGACCCATTCCAGAGGGTCTTTACCCTTCTCATCCCTACCAAGTGCCCGCAGGGTTGAAGCAAACGCTCCTTCGCGCGGTGGGCGCCTGCGGAGGTACAGGCTCTGGGTGTCTTGGAAAGCAGCTCTAACCTCTGGGTTAGAGAAGTCAAGCTCCACATCCCAGAACTGGGGTCCACATGTGGTTGATAGACTAGCAATCTGGTCTATTGGTGGGAGGATGCAAGGAGCCGTGCGATTCAGAACCGGCTCAGTAGAGGTGTTCTTGCGCATCCTGATTTGGACAGGAACAGTGATCGGTTGTCCAGTAAGAACATCTTTTGTAACCAGACACCGCTGCTCTGTAGCTAGAACCCAGAAATGGCGAAGAGCTTGGAGATGGGATCGATTGTCCATAACACTCGTAGGGAAAATAGGGTAAAATGCAACCAATAGAGAAGCAATAGCAAGGTTGCTGGTGCCAAAAGTTGCCGTCCCGCATCCCAAGAACAAAGCGCCGATCGCAAGATGAGCCGCAAGATGAGAACCATAGGGCGTCTCAGGATCATCGCGACCATGAAGTGCACGAAGACGACGTAGAACAGGAATGTCACCTGTTCCGGCCATGACAATGGACGCAGATATGGCAACGATGTCTTGACACATGCGTGCATTGGTCCGTGTTAGTTCTTCATCATATGGTGGAGTACCATTTGGATGCATGCTTGCAGTGGATGGTATCTGTGCAATACGCATGAACTGATCCAGATAATAAAGTAGAAGATCCCGAACTTTGGGAGATGCGCTGCCAGAGAAGCGCAGTGCAATAGAGAAGCAAAGACCAGCCACTATGCTGTGGAATGCCATATCAGTTGACTGCAGTTTTGTCGTTGACTGTAGCTTGAACTGAGAACGATAAGGACGTGGTAGGTTCTTACGAATCCAAGCAAATGTCGGCTCAATCTTGGACCACATGATCAGGTTCTTCGTCAAGGTCCGCAAGAGAAGAATATCAGGACGAATGTAATCAAATTGCAAGACCGAGTTGGGTATGTCGATCTTACGCGCGACGATCTGATCTTCTGACTTCATGTAAATGAGAGCCAGGGCCATGACAGCGCCAGCAGCTGCTCGATCCAGAATATGAACTATTTCAATGTTCTTGGTTGTTGTAGCATGAGAAATGAGCTTCTCTGTGAGTCTCATGTCATGCAATCCCTTAAGATCATTGCCTTTGCCCAGGTTGATGAATCCAAGAGCAAATCCAGCCGCCAGTCGGTAGCATTCGCTTCTCAGGGGCTCTTCTTCATCCTCTTCGTCAATATGCTCAATCTCAGAGAGCATAATTTCACTCATTCGCCGATGCTGACTGTTGGCATATAGCAAACCGATGCCCATTATACCCGAAGTCTGCGTCAGAGGGGACAGATTCAATTCTGCTGCTCCACGAGGCAACATCCTTGTGGCATGAACGGAAAGTAGACGAGTAATCAGCGAATCCATTGTGCCCATGTAAGATGCTGCCAGGCCCAGAAGTAACCCGATGGAGGTCATTGTATGTTTTGGCGTCAGATATTTGAACGCAACCCATTTTGCTACGTCTTTCAGATGGCCGTTCAGGCCAAGGGCAAGTAGGAAACCAGCATGTCGATTGTTGAGATCTTGGTCAGGTTTGTTGTAAAGAATCCATGATGTGTCGATACCTTGAGCCTGGGGAGAAATGGCTAACCCAGCTGCGACACCCTGGTGAAAGAAGCCCCAGCAAACCTTCTCTTCTGAGAACTGTGATTTGTCCACACCCACCGTGGTATTTGTTGGTTTTACAATGCAATTGAGGTTAAAGCCACCAATATGAAATTTCTGCGTGATCAGAGGGTAGCGAAGACTGTAGTACAGCAAAGCCCGACCTGCAGGAATTGCCAAAGTGCCTGTTGCAATTCTTGTTACGAGCTCCTTTTGCTTCTCAAGATATTCGCTCTCTGGCCAGCCTGGATGGGGATCAAGTCGAACTAGTCTTGCCTTGTGGGTGGAAAGTAAATCTTGAGCTTCGTTGAGGCGGCGATCTTCTTTGAACAAGGAGCGAATAATGGCTTGACGTTCCGTTCCTTCACCTTCATCGTATCCGATATTGTTTGATTCATTGACACTCTGGCAAAGCAGTTTGTAGTCCCAAGTTGCATTGTGTGTCGGTGTCTATTGGTTGTCAGTGATCATCCGTGAAGACGGGGTTTAGATCTTACTAGAATCTTGGAAGCGCTTGGCTTAGGTTGCTTCCCAGGGGCGAGAATGAGACTGATATCCCGGCGGTCAACCAATTCGAGGAGATCCTTGGACCAGGAGGTCGGTGGGTGCGGTTGGCACAATGAAATGGCATCACGTAAAGGTGCAAGAATAGCCTCCGGGAGGGTATCAAGAATTAAAGGTGTAATACCGGCATCCCTCATAGCTTCCACCATCTGTACTGCACTCGTGCTTGGTTTCATAAATTTGAAAAATTGCTTGAACATAAGCGTTCTAGGGAGAATAGACTCCCATCGCCTGTCCTGCGACTTTTCCGCTTCGGACAATTGGGAGCCAGCATAATAAACATCCGCTGGGGTGATGTAAGGAACCCTCCGTTCTCCAGTAAGTCGTGATTGAATCCAGTTGACGACGTCTGGCCGTACAGGTGGCTGAGGGATTGCAGGCCTCAGGTTGAGATCTGATCCAATGGTTAGCTTTGCATCACAAAGACGATTCACGAATATACCAGAATCATGACGTTGATCGACGTCTTCTTGTATGCCCGCCTCGTATATAGCAATAAAGCTGGGCCACTTGAGCCATCGAGCTATTTGACACATAATGACTCGGAGATCAGCACGGCCAGGAGATATGAATTCTGGCGTCATGATATCAAGCTTTTCTTCCTCGAGAAGTAGGTGCAAACCCATAAACACATCAACAGCAACCTTGCGGCGGCTCTCCATGCTTTTGCCAACTGCGGTTGGCATATAACCAGCGGCTCCGAATGCCGTTTCGCCTAGTATAGAGACCATGTACTCTTTGGCCATAGATATATGTTTCGAAATGAAAGTGGTAGATAGGTTTTCGTCCCCAGAATCATCCCCATCTTCATCCAGCGCCCACTGCCAACCTCCGTTCATCATCCACGTTGGACACCCTAACGAATTTGAAGTCTCGGCTTTTTCCAAGGATCCCCAGTCCTCCGATTCTTTGATCGAGCCAAAAGAGCCCGAAGGGTGCCTCCTTCTGCGAGGAAGTTGTCGAGTTTTCGGGAAAGGCTTTGTGTCAGTCCGGCCGAGACTCAGAAACAAAGATAAAAGGAGGATGGTCATCGCAGACCATTCAATGTCAGTACTTGTCTCGTCATGGCCTCCTATCCATTGCATACAGTGAAGCCAGCCAGCGAAGATGTGTTCACCAAGTGCATGAGGCAGAATGCTACGACAAACGTCTAGGACTCTTCGAACGTGAGGTGACCTCGGCTCGAGCTGAATACGGAGCTCATGAAGCCGACCTTCAGCATCGACAACATCAACAATGCCACCTTGTCGAGGATGCCGTACACCAACAATGCTGCCATTACTGAAGTCAATAACCTCGGACTTTCTCTGTGTAACATCGCGGTCCACAACTCTGCCACGATATTGCAAACTTCTAGTATTATCGACGAAGAGAAGTGAAAGCGATATTTTAGTAAGGACACTCCACGGGGCCTGAGTACTTAGTTCGTGCCGGCCATCCATTGATTCCGACAGGATTAGAATCGCAGAATGGTCACCGTCCATTAGCTTGCAAGAGTCAACGACATTTTGAGCATGTCGTCTGTCAACAACAGTGGCTACGACGGTTGTACCGTCAGGTATGTTCTTCTTCCCTGGCTTGGCGCCCATATTAGTCCCACGCTGAATGCCCAGCTCCAATGTGAGAAGTTGAAGACGTCTCTCGGTAGCATCCTGAATACCAATAAGAAGTTGACTTTGGTCATGCCCATCGATGGCAAACGGAGGGGCCACCAAGATAAAGACCTTGGTTTGGGTGCGGGCTGGCTGATCCGAGTATCGAACATTGGAGTTATTCATAGGTACGCTGTGAAGTTTAGTAAACAGGATTTCATGCTGTAGCCCATCAAACTCATGATCATCTAGACCCATGTTGTGAAACCCTTCGTCAAGGCCTTCATAGAAAGGTGCCGCTAACAGACTGCTCAGACTAGGATGAATCTGATGGGCATAGTTGGCACTAAGGCGTGCATGGCTTCCTTGTGATTCATGCCTCCTAGCTCCAACATGACTAGATAGTAGCGGCTGATCTGGTAATATGGCTCTTTCATGCGACGCAGACAAGTCAGCTCTCGCTAACATGGAGCTGACCCTACGAGAGCTCCTCCGCGCAACACCACTGCCTTCCTTGTCTTGTTGTTCTAAGGATGAGACAAGGTCAATCATGGGCTTTTCAAGCCTCTCACTCTTTCTCGGCCGCTTTCCTGGAAGAGGTGCTCCAAAGCTTTCTCGCAAGTTGGGCTGGACAGGTGTGCCAGGAGTACTAGCAAAGGCAGGAGGCATGGAGCTACGACGCCGGGCAGTCTTTGATTTAGCATCTTTCTGCCGAGCAAGAAAACGGTCTTCATGCTGCAGGTACGTGAGGCGCCAGACAGTGTATTCACTAGTTTCGCGGTTGATTGTCACCGCAATGATCAGAGGTTGACTTAAATCTTGTGTCAAGGCGCCAGGGATTTTGATCTCTTCCACATGGAGAACTTCTTCAGCTGAATCGAGAAATGCCAGCTTCTTAGCTGCTGTCTGCCTTAAGCTTTTGCCATTTTGTGCCTCCTGGTTTGTGACGACCAGTCCCAACTCCAACAGCGGGTCAGTCAATGAAACAAGGCGTGGCCAACGGGACTCGGGTTGTTCCAGCGGAGCTTCCCAAAGGTTATCTAAAGTTGAGCTCAGACGAAGTGGGAGTGCTTTCGGTTTTCCAAGACCTTCCACAGAAAACGCGGTCAGTTGAGAGCTATTGAATGCTGTCAACTGCGAAGAGACGAAGGAATTCGGCGGCACTCGGGGGAACTTGAGGGAGATTGGCGCAACACTTTCAGCTTTTTGCTTTCGTTGAATGATGACTCCTACTGGGCCTGCGAATGCGGTTTCAACTTCGAATGGCATGTGGACAATATGACTGGTGCCAGAGAGGAAATATATGTGCGCCTGGGTCTTGAGGAAGACAACCAACGCTTTAGACAAAGCCGGTCGCTGATCCGATTGTGCCTCTTCCTCTTGTGTAGATTTGTCGTCTTTGGAAGCCGGGAAGTATGCTAGGAGAGCCTGTATAACAGGTTCTTTTTCGAGTTCGAATCTGAAGGTCTTTTGAAATATTCCACCTCGACACCATATGACGCAGTGTTCCGTCGAAAGGATTTCATCTTCGAGATCCCCATCGAATCGATCCTCTGTTGAAATATCCCATGTATACGACGTTGACGGTGGATTCGGCGGTAATAATTGTTCGTTGATGGCATGTTGAAGCCCTGAGGGCTGGTGCAACCCCAGGGACTTCACCGTCGCCATGTTTCAATGCCCGCCATAAGCAGCTTCAGCGCGTCGAGAAACAAGCAATCCTTCAAGGAGTTACCAATAGTTTCTCGAGCAGAAAATTATGGTCGATCGTCTCTTTGAGAGAGAGTTGAATATGTTTTGCTGCGCGTCAAGATATTGTTTACTTTATGTTGGATCTGTCAGTGGTGCACTGCGCCCCGCGAAACTGTACTGGTCCTACCTATCATGAGTGCTAAGTTAGTTGGTGGGGCTAGGCGCGAATACCCTTCAGTCGTTCTTGGCGCGTCTAGAACCGAAGCTCTTTTGAAGCTGCCTCGTGACGTAGCTGCAAGGTACAAGGTACCTCTACCGACCTTTTGCGCATCGGACCTTTGGAAGCTGTCATAGCTTTGGTCAGGGCTCTCAACAACTACCTAAAACAACCCAGCAGCTTTCCAGCACATACAAACGCTCTCTCTCTGGGTTCTATAGCTTTCCAGAATGATATCATTGTTGTCATTGCAATGACGGAGCAGTCACCGCAACCGAGCCATGAGTTGGCGCACGATACCGATGCCCAACAACTGGAGCATGAGCCAGCAGTAGACGCCAACGAGACGTTCCCGCCCGTAGAAAACAAAGCTCCCGACGATGTAGCACACGAGAAAGATGGCAAATCAAAAGATGCGACGGGCAAAGAAGGGGGTACCGAAGCCAGAGATGTAAAGAATGGGGAAAGCAATGATAGAAAGTCGGGGAACGATGAAAACAATGGAGAAGAGGAGGAGGAAGACGACGACGATGATGAAGCTGACGACGATGACGAGGACGACGAAGATGATGAGGACGATGATGAAGATGAAGAGGATGAGGAACCAAGACTCAAATATGCTCGGTTAACTCAACACCTTAACGGAGTGTATCGAAACGGCGATGCAACTAGCGCGTTTCTTGTCGCGGGAGATAAGATGGTAGGTTGCGTTTGTGTCGGTGCATATCAGCTTGCTAACGTCTATCCAGATAGTTGGAACGCATAATGGCAATATCGTAAGTCTTGGGCTGGCGGTCAACACGACTCTCACTAATTCCGGGCCAGCACATTGTTCAGCTCCCCATCTTCCAATCCATGAGAGTATACCATGCGCACTCAGCCTCAGTTACCTCTATATCCATATCGCCGTACCCTCCTCCATTGCCAACCGAGAAGAAGCCAGAGGCAGCGCCAAGGCATACGACATCCAGCAACGCTACTGTCTCTTCTGGTCGCCAGGCCGATGCATCTCCGGCGGCGGCTTCCAGAAGACCTCGCGAAGCGTCACAAATACCCAGGACGCCATCTAACGATATTTATGTAGCGACTTCCTCCTTGGATGGCAATGTATGTGTGCAGTCTCTTGTTGATATGAAAGATGTCCAGCTACGGAACTTTGCCCGTCCCGTTCAAGCTGTGGCTCTGTCGCCAGAATTCAAGACGGATCGTACCTATTTGTCAGGAGGACTTGCCGGTCAGCTCATTCTTACCGCCGGAGGTGGTCCGGGTCGCAGTACCTCGACAACAACTGGAACTGCTGCGGCCACAGCTTCCGGCTGGCTGGGAAGTATGGGACTTGGCGGCAGTAGTGGCAAAGACACTATCTTACACTCTGGCGAAGGAACTATCAGCACTATTAAATGGTCCTTGTCTGGGAAATATGTGGTCTGGCTCAACGAACATGGAATCAAAATTATGCGGTCAAAGCTCCACCTCGAGAGCGCAGACATAGAAGATGCATGGAAACGAGTTGGGCACATTGATCGCCCACAAACTGATGAATGGGAAACCATGGCAAGTGTATGGAAAGGCCGCGTCGAATGGATTGATGAACAAGCTGTTGAAGTGGATGAATCTGACCAGAGCACTGTTGATAAAGGAATATCTCCTGCTGCACACAAGCTCAGAGAACAGGCTGTAATGGGCAAGAAGAGTATCGAACGGTTGCTTGTAGGTTGGGGTGGGACGATATGGATCATACACGTTCATCCAGGAGGCGTCGGCGTTGGCCGGCATGCTGGCGAGAAGACTGTTGGGCGTGCTGAAATTGTTAAAATGTGGGTTTTGCTGTGAATATGGCCTCCTTGAGTTAAAGCTGACCTGAAACAGACTTCGGATGGATTGCATCATTTCCGGCATTTCGCTATATACCCACAACCTTTTGTTAGTACTTGCGTATTGCTTGCCTGAAGACGAGGACGAGGATGAGGATTCCGGATCGGTTTCAAACTCACCAGACAAAAAGCATAAATACAATCCTTCAACAGGAAGCGAGCCGTCTGGCGGTGTTCGCCGCCGACAGAATAACCAGCCGCCTGAACTCCGCCTTATCGATCTTAACTCCCAGGCCGAAGCCGACAAAGACAGTCTGAGTGTCAGTCGTTATGAGAGGTTGTCATCAGGTGATTACCACTTAGGCGTTTTGCCTGCACGCAATGCTGCGTCTGCAATCGCTTCATCTCGGGGCGCTCTGGAGGCGATAGCTGGGATCGGCACAGATATGTGGAATGCGGCCATCAACCCTCGCTCCCTATTCAGCTCCGGAGCTAGCATTCGTAGCAGAGGGAGCGGTGATGATTCTAGTCTCATAGGGAGTACGGCCGGGACAATTCGACCCGGGACCAATCAAAGACTTTCCCCCACCGTCCATTCTGGTCTTGTCAAGCCAGGCGTGAAGATCTTCATACATAGTCCGTATGACTGCATCCTCGCGACCAGACGAGATCTGAGTGATCATTTGGGATGGCTCCTAGAGCGCCAGCAGTACCAGCGTGCCTGGGAGTTACTCGATGAACATCCGGAGATTATGGCACCGCTAAACGAAAGGGCTAATGATGGTACTCCTTCAACTCCAACACTGAACCAAGAGCCTAGTGACGAATTCAATGATGATGAATCTGTTGTCGATTCTCAACTGCGAGATTTTTATTCTTCGGCAGAGCGAGAGAAAAGGCGTATCGGAGAACTCTGGATCCAAGAGCTTATCGAAGAGAACAACTGGGCATCTGCTGGTAAAGTGTGTGGTCAGGTACTCAAGACGCCTGATAGATGGGAGAAATGGGTTTGGACATTTGCTGGTGCGAAGAAATTTGATGCTATCACGGACTACATTCCTACAGAGCCCATGCATCCGCCCCTTCCTTCGACTATTTATGAAGTTGTACTTGGCCATTATATTCAAAACGACAAGCCAAGGTTTAGGGAGCTTTTGGATCGTTGGTCACCTGAGCTTTTCGACATAAAAACAATCACAACTGCGCTGGAGAACCAGCTCAAGTATCGAGACGTACGCGAAGACAGCATCGATGAAGGGGAAAGGGGGCGGGACTGGAGGATTGTAATAGAGAGCTTGGCAAGGTTACACGAGGCCAACGGACGACATCGCGAGGCCCTCAAATGCTACATCAAGCTCCATGATGCGGATTCGGCCTTTAGGTTGATTAGAGACAACCACCTTGCAGAAGCTGTTGAAGACGATATTCCAAGCTTCATTGGCCTCAGAGTTCCACCAGGTAAAGTTGATGAAATGACAGCAGAGGAGCTTGATGAAGCGACATCAGAAGCCATCACACTACTCGTTGATGAGGCTCAGCATGGTCTCCTGCGCCCTGATATCGTGGTGGAGCAACTTCTCTCCAAGAAGCTCAACCTGTACATATACTTCTATTTCCGAGGTCTATGGAAGGGCGATGGTATTCAGGAACATAGTGGGGAGAATGTGGACCGGCTGGTGATGGACAGTCAATCTTTGGTTGACAACTTCGCGGATTTGGCTGTCCATCTGTTTGCGACCTTCGACCGGGCGTTACTTATGCAATACCTTAAGACTTCAGTCTCCTATACATTTGAAAAGGTAACCCAAAATAACAAAAAACATCACTGCGTTCTGGCTGCTAACTCAGTGTAGGCTGTTCAAGAGTGTGAGACGTTCTCATACTACGACGAGCTCGTGTTTCTATACTCTAAAACGGGCCAAATGAAACGAGCTCTCTACCTCATCATCGATCGTCTAAAGAATGTTCACAAAGCAATCGAGTTTGCTAAAGAACAGGACGACCCTGACCTATGGGAAGACCTCCTTAAATACAGCATGGACAAGCCTAGCTTCATTCGAGGTCTGCTTGAGCAAGTCGGTACAGCTATCAACCCAATTACTGTAGTGCAGCGAATTCCCGAGGGACTTGAGATTGAGGGTCTCAGGGAAGGGCTTACGCACATGATGAAGGAACACGAGATCCAGTACAGCATTAGCTCGGGCGTTGCACGAGTCCTTCGCAGTGAGGTTGCCACGGCGCAGAACGAGCTTCGAGCTGGTCAGCGTAAGGGTATCAAGTTTGAAGTAGTTATTCAGGAACAGGAACATGTGGATATACAAGTCAAGGATGTTTCCACGGACCCCGACAATCCAGAACCCAACATTTCTCACCCATCTACGGCTCATGATCACAGAGTGCCGAAACCGGGACACTGCGCAAGATGTCATGAACCATTTACCGAGTTCGAGATGGAAACATTAGTTGGATATGCTTGCGGGCATGTGTTTCACGTGAGTCATCTCTTGGAGATGCTGCATGGGAACAAGAAAGTGGATGTTGATTTAGGCAATGGCTCAGAGGAGGGAAGTCGGTACTCAATAGGCATGAAGGTGATGAGAGCGCGATTACTGAAGGATAAGATGAAAGGGGGCTGCCCTGTATGTCATGTTAAAGAGTAAAGATATCAGGACATCAAGGGTGTTTATACAGTGGCGGCGCATAGAGAGGTCAGTCTTAGCACACTAGTTTGGATAGTTTCACGGCGTACAATAAAGACACATATGATGGTAGCAAATCCGAGTTCTTTTCAGAGTACCTAGGTACAGCACAGCGCGTATTAAGTCCCTCACTCGGTTCCGACAAGCCAGAAAATCCATCACAATCCTGTACGTGCCATCATTCTACTTGCTGCAGGCTCTTAAACCAACGACCATTGATATTTCCATGTCAAACCATCCAACACTATCCGTTTCTCTCTAGCGTGAAAGATATATCCGAGTATAGAGTGAGCATGATGAATGCATGTGGAAGCATGATCTGGAAGTTTTGTTTTAGAAGATGACAGCGATGAGCATGCCAGCGATGCTGAGTGCAGCACCAGGAGCAAGCATCTTAGCTGCTGCACTGGCAGTGACACCAGGAGTGCCAGTAGGAGTGCTCTCGTCGGTCTCCTCAGCAGAGGAAGGGTAAGTGTCTGTAGCAGTGCTAGAGATAGCGGTCTCGTACCCGGTCTCGGAGTCAGTCACAACGACAGCGGTGTCAGTGACGGAGGATCCGTAGGCGGCGGTGGTGGTCTGGACGCCGGGCACATCGGTGGCACTGACGACAGCAGAAGGAGAAGGGTTCTCGACACCAGCGGAGTTGGTAGGGCTAGGGTTGGTACCCTGCTCGCCGGAGGCAGTACCAGGTCCAGGGACGTAGCTGGGTCCGGAGGAGGGAGGGACAGGGACAACAGGGACAACAGGGGCACCAGTAGACTGAGCTCCAGTCTGTTCAGCAGGAGGACCGGCCTCGGTGGTAGCGGAGACACCCTGGGCGCCGACGGAGGTAGCGGAGCTGTCAGCAGGAGCAGTAGCTCCGGCGGCGGAGGAAGGGTGCATCTCGACGCTGTAAGGCACGGAGGCGACATGATCGCACTTGGTCTCGTGGGTAACAGTGCAGATGTTCATGGTAGAGACGAGAGTGCCTATCGTCGGTCAGCATACGCCATAGCAAAGGTAATAGACATCCATACCGTCAGAGATTGAATAACCAGCATCAGTCACAGCAGTTTCGGTGGTGGTATGATCAGCTAGAAAGGTGTTAGTGCAAATATAATATCGCGAGGCTACTGAGGTTACGAACACAGACAAGTAGCAGTCTCGCCCCCAGTTGCGGCGACAGAGGCAGCACAGAATGCCAGAATGATGGCGATAGCCTTGAGCTTGAAAACAGCCATCGCGAAGGTGATGAGTCTGTTAATTATCGAAGAGATTAGCAAGTGTTCTGTGAGGCGTGGTAGTGGAGAGGGGAGAAGAGCGCCAGGTGCGTGAGTGAGAGACGCGGCGGAGTTGAAGAAGCACGAGTACAAAAGGCTTTCAAGAGGCACACAGAGTTCAAATGTGAAAGTTAAACGAAGACTCACAGGTTTGATGTTTGAAGATGTTGTAGTGCAAGTGACTGTGTGCAAAGGATAATGCAAGAGAGTGGTGAGGTGCACGATCGATGCAGTGAGGAGAAGATGAGAGAGTGTGTGAAGAGAGAAGAGAGAAGTGGAAAACCCAAATGACGAGAGGATTCCTTTTCTACCTCGACGCAAAGGTAAACAATAGGAGAGGCCCCTGCGTTAGGTGGGCTGCAAGTGTCAGTCCGTTGACAGTGACAGACCGTCGCAGTGATGAGCAGCTGGCGAGCTATGATTTCAAGGGGCAACGGTTCAACAACAGTAGGGATGAATTGGGGACATCCAGTAATTAGTGTATGTAACTATGGATACTGGTAGAATGCTGGAGCAACAGCCGTTATTTGGTGGTACCGACTCTTTGTTGCACTACGTGGTGTTGAGGCATCCCATCACACTTTTGGTGTTTGTCTGAGCTGGAGGTTGAGTCACGAGTCACTTAATAAAAGGTTTAACAGTAGCAATAGTTGCCGGGGCTGGAATTGAACGACTGTTTGATATTATTGATGCCATTTCTTAGGGGCTCTCTATTTGGTTCCTGGGTAGAGTATTGTTGGATCTGTTGCTGGTATATGTCGGTAGGTTCCTTAGGAACCCTATATCTTCTCAGGTGACTGCTACACACCAGGTGGTTCATGTTCTTGCAGTCATATTCATATACAAGTCTTCGAAGCAGCTCCACACTGTAACTGCTCATCGGAACTGATCCTTGATATGAAGAATCGCCGTTTTAACAGCCGGCCTCGGTCAACAGCATTGTGTTTTACAGCTCATGTCTAATCACTCTTGTCACTAAATTTCAAAGGCATTCTCTGCTTGAATGCGCGATACTGCGGGCCCTGTCCTACGTTGCAACCGCAGCGGCATCTCGCATTTCTACACACAACATAAGCCATACCTGTCTGAGATAGATTTACGATTCACATCTCCTCCCAGTAACCTTTGCTATATTATCCTCAGCCTAGACTCACGAAATCTGCTGAACAACATGCAAGTCTCCTCGCTCAACATGAATACGATGCTTCAACGAGTCTCAGCGTGATCTCACATAGGCTGTGCTATTGTCTCTCCAACACGTGTCTGGACAGTGCACTTGTGTCGTGTCACTTGCCTGTGCTTCAGAGTGAGTACCCGATGAAGGACAGGCCGTCTCTGAGAAGAGTCATGCAAAGTACCTATATGCAACTCTGTTGGCATGGGGAGGACAGGTTGAGGTTTGCCTAAGCGAGAGTGTGGGTTCTCGTAATAAGATGGTATGTCTTAGGGTCCTTTGCATCTGCCTATAACATTCGCACATGAAGACCTCGAGAGTATTAATTACAATTGGAGTTATTGCCAAATGAACATTGCACCTGGCTATGCAAGGGTCTAGAAGCAATCTTGTTATATAGATGCATTTAATGTTGGGATATTGTTCCACTGCGCCATTATATAAAGCATTGAGGCAATATAAAGAGAGGCTCTGATGTATGAGGTATCCACAAAAAAAAAAAAAAGAAAAAGAAAAAAGGGGGGGGGGGTATAATGATGGATTCTAACCACCTTCAATGGACGAACAGGGAATCGAACCCTGGACCACTCCCAGATTATTCGGATGAATTATGCTAAGGGAGTATTATACCACTAAACCATTCGCCCGATTGGATACTAGATGATGACAAATTGGTGTTGATGTTCGCTGCGAGTAGTTTTTGGACAGCTGTAGCACTCAACTTGGTACACAAAGTTCATGATATCTCTCTTATCCTGATACTCTCATCGCAATTAGTTTTTCATGTCCTCAAAGATAATATTGCGAGCTCGTATTTTGCCCATCATCGTACAAAGAAGAAAGTAAACCCGCAATCTAAGCATTTGGGTATTGACATCAACTCTTATCAAACTCTTCCAACCGCCGTTCAAGAGAAAGGTTTCACTTGGAAGCTTGGAGCTGGAAATAAAAAAAAAGTCCCATTTAGCCTTCGAACAGTTGTCTCAGTCGTCTGAGATGTCCGGTAGTCGATAATATCGTAGTGACCAGCACACCATAGCAGACCAACATGACCAGTCGGGTTACGAGATCAGGAAGAACCATCATCAATACCCCTAAACAGAGAAAACTCATAGAAAACCCGTTTATGAGAGTTCTAAGAGGAACAATTGGAGCGGCAGGTGGTGCTTGATTGACTCTGGGAACATTTGTTGCCGTCCCATGTGGTAGAACGACAAGGTCTGACGCACCAAGGAATTGAGTTTCGTCATCTATCAAAATCTGCCTATGGTTCAGATAAGTTCTGTAAGCTTGTATTTCGTCGTTCGTTGGCGACGGTCGTTTTTGCATGTCTTCCAGTGTCGACATCGCCATTTCTGACCCAGTTAGATGAAGTCGTGCCCGAGTCTTTGATGCACTTACTGTACTTGGAAAGAATAATATCTATTCTTTCCATAAGATCAACCCTATCTCTATGGATCTGGCGGCCAAACCTCCGTTCTTCCCGAGCAGATACAGGCATATGCCCCCCAAGTCGTGTAGTGATGGAATCCATGCGTAGTAGTTCTTCCTCCAACATCCCAAGTTGGTCTTGATAACGCAAGAGGTTGCGGTGAAGTAGCCAATCGAATCTTCGATATATGGGTATCAGTTGTGGTTCGGCTCGGCCGGAGATCCTGGCTGCAATAGACGCGTATCCATGCAGAGCTTCGATGGGAAGCTCGCCATTAGGCGCAGCCATTTCGTCCTGAGTTTCTGGGTAAGAAGTATCGTATGAAGGGTTTTGATCGACAAAAGGAGGCTCCAATGTGCTGGCCTTTTGGTTCACGTATGTAAATCCAGGATGATAAGGTTGCTCGGTTAGCGGAAAACCCGATTGCTGAGGTGAAAAGGGGTCTTGTGATGGCGGGTAGCCAGCAGGAGTATGGTTTGGTCCCCAACCAGCGTATGACATAGCACTAACAGGAGATTGAGGATAGTTGGCAACGGCAACAGTTGTTGGAGCATATGCCGAAGGCGCTGCTTGACGTCCGCTGGGAGTATTCTTAAAATAGCTCGATTCCGGGGACGATGCGAATGCCTCATGGGGGACAAAGTGCGGATCAGGCCCGGATGATGATATACTGGCAGGTCGATGTGCTCCCTTGTTCTTCATGTTCCTAGCTTCCCTTAGCATCTTTCTCTTGCTGCTAGTGGGCTTAGTTACGGCTGTATCATCGGTGGATGTAAGCTGCGTAACGGCGGACCCGTTGACAGTTCGTTGAACGTTTGAACGGGTGTGCTCCATTTTGGATGACGAACTAGGCGGTGTTGGATAGTGAGTAGCACCCTCACTGGGCGATTGACTGTTTGTTTCTTCATAGTCTTCAACCTTCGATTGCTGGGATACTGCTTCTTGGATGGCGCCCTCCGAAGAAGACCACGAGGGCCGGGGTCGTGTTTGTGCCCTGTCGCTCATTGTGAGCTTGCGCTATTGGTCCTGTGTGAATTGATGTCTTGATCAATTCGCGTGGATGTTTTGTTAGATAAACTCCGCGCTCGTTTTATCAAAGATGTATTATTGTAATATTGAGGGGTCACCCTGCGATAAATGTGGTGCTCTTTCAAGCTTTCACTGAAGCATAGGAGGCATCCCAGCAGTGGTGGCCGTCTGTTGAGGCTGTGATAAAGCTGAACACAGCGTTTGACAGGATTGTAGCACCCGGAAACTGGCGCCAGAATCCGTGAGCAACCGTAAGTATGTCAGCCCAATAGTCTAGTGAGATTTGACATGAAAGCGTGGAGAAGGTAAGACGAAGAAAGTTCCCGATAACTTTGAATGGGGCTTTAAAATGACGAGTATCGAGAGTGAATGCAGAAGAGTTGATGAGAGTGTAAACTTCAAGACCTCTTGAAGCTAATAAATCGGCATAAGATGACGACGCGATGATATGTCTTCTATTCACAGTCAATGCGTTCGCCTGACTGCCTTGTTTCCAACGGCGACGGCGTGAGCAGCTGAGCCGCGGAGGCCGGCTGAGCACTTAAAGCTTGTCATTGGAGTATGAATTAAAGATGGTGGGGAGTCCGAGTGTTGGGTGGTATCAGAAGTAATGACTGTCGCATGTGAAGTGGTGTTGAGAGCAGTCATCCAACCATCCAATGCAATGGCAGCCGAAGAGAGCAAAAGAAGGACACTCTTTCGGCTGATATGGAACCGAACCAAATTCACCTAAATATAAGAGGTGGGAGATTCTTCAAACCCATTTTTCTGAAATTAGAAATAGATACTTAGACAATCTATGGATCAAACGTAAATATCAAGAGATACACAAACTACAGACAGACACAGGCAATCGAGATCCTGGTCTTCTGGGCACGTGATTGGATCATTAATCTTTAGCCCGTGCTGTATGGATATTCGCTACGAGCCTTAGTAAGAGTTGATAGCTCCACCTGAGCTTTAAAAAGAACATCCAATGATTGCTCCAAGATCCCCCTCAAAAGACTAATTGAGTTGGGGTAACTATGATTTTGAGGCCGTTTTGATTGTATGCATATGATCAGCCTTATTTGAACTGCCAAGTCATAGTGCATTCCGCCGTAACCCTTCGTTGCGTCCCTCCAACCAAAACACCACCACACCAAGCAAATTCGAAAGCCTGGGGTCTTGATTGATATCGCAGTATATCAGACCACACGAACTCGAGTGAGTGTGAAAAAGCCTGACCCTGCAGGTATATTGCCAGAACCTTGCACTTCTTGTCACCATGTCACGAATATCAACATCTATCCTCAGCAGGTATCTGTTGAAAGGACAGATACCTCGTCAAGGATGTATCAGTGCGCGCCATGTATCCAGACACACATCACTGCCATCAGCGGCCATAACCATCGCCAATACGACAAGGCGGTTGCATGCTGCTCCTGAAGTTGTCACACCACCTCCCGACCAACCAGTGCCTTTACGGAAGCAGCTCAAGGACGAAGCCAAGAAGGCCAAGAAGCAAGGCAAAAAGAAGCCAAAGGGTGATTCTCAAACTGTCGATGGTTGGGAATTGACCGTTGGTATCGAGATTCACGCTCAATTGAACACCGCCCGCAAGTTATTCTCGCCAGCTGTTACGTCTTTCAACGATGAACCCAACAGCCATGTTGCGCTTTTCGATGTTGCCATGCCAGGAAGCCAGCCCTTGTTTCAGAAGGAAACTTTAATTCCCGCTTTGCGTGCAGCCTTGGCCTTGAACTGCGAAGTCCAAGAGGTCAGCCGATTTGACCGAAAACACTATTTCTGGTGGGATCAGCCCTCTGGATACCAAATCACTCAGTACTATGAACCTTTCGCCAAAAATGGGTATATCACTCTTCTGGCTCGAGATGGAATTTCTCCTCAAGATGGCGAAAGGGTGACGATCGGAATCAAGCAGGTTCAGCTCGAGCAGGATACCGCCAAGACGCTCGCTCAGGCTGGCAAGGTTCAATGGCTCGACTTCAACCGTGTGGGTGTTCCTCTTATTGAAATTATTACCGAGCCTGAACTTCATCATCCTCGCACTGCTGCTGTTCTTGTGCGCAAGATTCAGATGTTGTTGAATACCGTCGATGCCTGCGTCTCGGGTATGGAAACAGGAGGTCTGCGAGCTGATGTCAACGTTTCTGTTCGAAGAACCGATGGATCTAACCCATCTCTCGGCACAAGAACCGAGATCAAGAACCTGAGTACCATCAAAGCGGTTGAAGATGCAATCATTGCAGAACGTGACCGTCAAATTCGCGAGTTAGAGGCCGGACGCTCTATTCCCAGTGAAACTCGCGGTTGGTCTATTGGGTCTACTGAAACACGGCGACTACGTGGAAAAGAGGGCGAAGTTGACTATCGATATATGCCAGACCCTGATATCGCGCCTCTTGTCATTGGAAACGACCTGGTAGGCCACTTGCGTCAGTCACTGGCTGTCACTCCTGATTCGGAGCTGGACACTCTGATTGCCCGATTTGGCCTTACGGCCAAGGATGCGTTGTCTCTGATTAACCTGGAGAATGGTTCACGTGTTCAATACTACTATAAGGTCCTTCGCTCCATCCAGGACAAGCTTTCGGAAGATCTCGGTGAGGCCGAAATGCCCGAATTCAAGAGCTATTCTGCTCTGGTGGGTAACTGGATCATCCACGAACTTGGCCGCCTGACTACCTACAAGGCTGGCCCACTTGCAGCCCGAGATCTGACGTTCACGCCAGAAGGCGATTGCGAGCAAGTTCCTGACTCAGACCTGTCACAGCTTCTTTACCATCTGATACGCAAACAAATCACGGGCAAAGTTGCCAAGGAACTTCTCTTTGCCATCTATTTAAAGGAGATCGAAGGTGGAGTCACTCAAGCAATTGCAGAGAACGATTTGTGGTTCAAAGAGATTCCCGAAGAGGAATATGAGCAGTTGGCTGATGAGGCCATGGAAGGAGAGCACAAGATCTTACAGGAGTTCGCTAGCTCTGAGACATTTCCTCAGGGCAAGCTCATGTTCCTTGTGGGAAAGATGATGCGACTCGGGCCTACTGAGCGCATCGTTCCTGCAAATGCTGAACGTGTCATGAGGGCAAAGGTTGAGGGTCTTCGAAACCCGTGATTCACCCAAAGCCAGAGGAAATGTAACAATGATCAATAACACAATTCTTCTCCCGTCACCTGAAGTGTTCACCTAAGAACTTCGTGCCACCGCATTGTTGATTGACGATGGCTTTTAGCCCACGACTAAAGATAGTTTACCAGTCCAACAATGAGGCTTTGGCCGGGCTTCACTGGTGTCGCCAGTGGTCCTCTTGCGCGCTGAAGCACAAGGTAGCAAACACGGATCAGTCGATACAAGGCATGGCACAGTACCTAGAATAAATCTCTCTTTCTCTTCTTCTAACGTATTCTCAAAATCAAGTTTGGTTATGACAAACTCTGGTGCATCTACGACAAGCTTGTTCCTCAAAACTAACAAACTCATGGCTACTATGATTCCAGCAGACGTTACAGTTCCCGCTCATGAGGACAGAAATGTCCCACGAACTTGGCAATCCAGCCATGGTTCGACATTTAAAACAGTTGTCCACGGCGACCGAGACAGCGAGAGCGGTATCATGACAGAGACAGTGTGGGAGACGATGAATCCATATTCGAGTGATCCAGATGGTATATCTAATACTATACCAACAGCTTCTTCAACAATTATTACAGCGACACCTGTCGCTACTACAAACAACTATACTACATATTCTACTGCGACTCCTGCCAGCAGCCAGAGCTCTGGTTCTCTGGCTTCAACATTACACCACTCTGGTGGTCTATCAGATGGAGCTATAGCTGCTATAGTAATCGGTGTTCTCTTTGGCTTGGCCATTGCAGCCCTGGCAACATGGCTCTTGGTTCGAAAGTCACGAAGACGCTCAAGAGTGACCCAAGTCACTCCTCTGCAGACCCCGATCTACAGTCCTTCACCACCTAGTTCCCCATTACCAACGCCTCCCCCTCTAACAGAATCGGGTAACGACCGGATTTCGAGCTTAGAGGATTCCTGGGTCAGTTATGGCGACCGTGTCCGATCACCTACGCCTCAGCCCGCAGTGGCGGAGGTAAGAAGCTTTACTCGAGCGTGGCAGAAGCCACGGGCATATACCGTCAGCAGAGGCCGTATGACTGAGGTGCATGGCTCAGAAGGCTCAGAGTCTCCGCCAAGTCCCGACGATGATATGTCACCTATCTCACCTCTGACTCGAGCTGGTTCTTCCCAGGCTGATCGACGTGTTGTAAGCCCTGTGTCTTTGGTTTCGAGATTCAGCACAATGTCAAACAGGACTGATCAGAATCGGGAGCGGGGAGAAAGTCAGAGGAGAGCGTTCTAATAAGGACTTTGTGCCTTAGCTCTTGGAGAGACCTTCTGCTTAATAGGGACTGGCTTAATTTCGGTGTTTCTGAATGAGAGTGAGACGAGGAGATTTTGTGCTACGGCTTTGTCGCTGACGGATAGGAGATGGGTCCGAAAGGGACCATTTTGAAGCTGTTTAGCTATTTAGTTGCGCTATAGATAGGGCAGGGGAAGGCCAACGCAATTTAATTTATGCTTGAGATTAATCAAAGATGTCTCAACTTTGAATCATGTTTCAATATTCCACATTTGGTATACCCAAGGCGAAGGGGACGGTATAAGGTAGTCGGTATTATGTGGTAATCAAGAGTAGCAAGATAGATGTTAATTTTGAATCACCAGCGTTATTTCTTTGGCAAGGCCTCATTCACACTGCAAAGATTTCTGCAAAAGTCAATCATTTGTAAGCTAGTGACCAATATCGAAAGACTCCAGACTCCCTGCGTGCTGACACACGACAATGCTCCAAAACAGAACGAAAGAAAAGGACCGCAGCAAAGCAAGGTATGTTCTCACCAACCCCATGTTGCCTCATCCTCTAGGCCCACTCCTGCTCCTTTCATACCTTTCCATTATGTTCATGACTAGGACCATGGCCATGAGCTGCCTGCAGCACTTCGTTATCATACTTTCCAGGCTGAAAAGCATAATTCAAGTTCTCTCTGTCCTTCAAAAACATATCAACTCTTTCATCCTTGGACCTACCCGCCGCAATTGTATTACGACGGGCAACCTGCTGCCCAATGGCGAGGTTGGACTGGTTCTTCATTTCCACGAGATCGGCGCCATATTGATCTGCTCTACTCATCTGAGCAAAAGCGCCTATCATGCACATAACAACGACGAGAGTGGCAAAAAGGCCATTGGACATGTATAAAGGATCCTTGACTCTGCCATCACGGGCATCGTACCATCGTTCCCAGTCTTCCCATGTAGCATTATGTGCGGCAGATCCGGCTCTGTGACGCCAGGCACGGTCGGCGCTGCGGACAGTTTCGTTGAGTGTCTGAGGCCGACCACCAGTCCATCCTACACCATGAACATCGTAGAGTTGACGTTTAGAGGGATCGATAAGGAGGTCGTTGGCAGCAACAATAAGGCGATACCGTTCTAAGCGGACCTTGTGTGGTATGTTATCGATATCGGGAGCATGGCTGTGTCGGTCGGGGTGGTAGACTTTGACAAGCTGATAGAATCGATGCTTGGTATACGGGGCGTCACTCTTCATAGCGAAGATCTCGTAGGGAGAAGGATAAGAAGTTTTGGGCCATTCAGGTACTTCATTATGGCTGAAGCTGCCTCTTTGGTCGCTATTCACTGTAGCATATCGCCTATACCCGTCTATTGAGAAAGTCGTTGCTGGTGCGTAGCTAAATCGTACCCCTCTGGATGACGTTATAGAGCGGATAGGCGTTATACTCGACACAGCGGGAAAGGCGTTGCAGGAACCGAGAAAAACAGCAGATTTGTTCAGCGGCATGACGAGTTTGTTGAGTGGCATAAGCCCAGAGACATTGAAATCATGTTCAGCACCACGAGCTGTGAGGTTTTGGATATCGCGGATTGAGCATGTTAGAGCAGGAAATGATAGCTACAAAGATGGAGGTTTAAGTGGCGTATCACGAGTAGCGAATGAGCATGCGCATCATCCAAGCCCGCAGATTCCGTTCCCCACAATCGCCGACTGAGGTGGCAGGGATTATCTAATGCCCGGGCCACCCGACAACGGCGATTGAAGCCACAGCCGGCATGGTCACGAGACCAGATGTTTGTTCACCGAGATGTTCACCACGGTGAAGGCTGTCTCCAAAGCATCCCTGCTTCGATCTGCCGACGTCCCGAGATACCCTTGCATTCGACGACAGATTCGTTCACATTATCCGTTCGGGTTACCACTGTATTTCCTTCCAATCGCTCCCGGGTAAAATCAGTCAAAAGCAACTCCAACCGACGATCAATTCGAAGTAAAGCAATTCATCCAGCAACCAACACTGCCGACGTATCCGGCTCTTGAAGTATTGAAATACTATCTCTCATCGAGATGAAAGACTGATTACCCTGAATCATTCGGCAATTATTTGAATGTAACCGAGCTTCCATTTGAGCGCTACCGAGGATATTATCAACTTTTAAAGGATATAAGCGCGGGAATAATAAGCCATCATGCACACCATGTCATCAGAGGCGCTACGCTAAATCGGGAGCCTCGATCTGGACAAGATTCACGTATCTCTCGTGTTAGCTAATTCCGTTTATGCTTCTCCTCATTTGAGTCAAAGCCCGACTCCGCGATTTGGGGTAAATGGCAAGATAATGTTCGTCACATATGGGGAAGACCCGTCAAGAGGTCAACCAGACATACGGTACCTGGGGACGGCAGTTCCTGTGTCCGTGAGCCAATGAAACCAACAGCAGTATGAACATGACTGCTGATAGCATCGTTTTTACCACGTTGTGAGCTGAAGTTGGTGGAGTTCATCAGCGGAATTCTTCCGACAACCATGACAATCACTCCACTTATCAACGACACAATTCAGTCGTCATCTCCACCGCAGGCTTTTCTCTGCTTTACTAATGCCTCTAGGGTGTTTTCTCGTGGGAATAACTCCGACGTGCAGCTCCCCTGCTGGTTCGTGTTGAGGCTCGGTACTAGCTGAGCCAGGATTGATCCTCCCGGCTTGGCTTGAGCCTCAACGTTGGTCTTGAACATTTCCCAGCTTCGCAGACGAGGGTTCTTGAAGTATCGATTTTTCACTCCAGATGAAAGACCCTAGCCAAAATAAACGGCCCAATGCTCAGTGATTTACATGATATGATTTGAAATCTCCGCGGGTACGGATACTTGACTCGAACCTAGCCAACCATTGCCACACAATTCTCATCACCAACCTTGTGACGACTGGATTATACCCTGGACACTGGCTCCGCTTCGTCTAAACCACCCCCAAGCACAGTCTCCAGCATGGTATATCCGCGTGCCGACATATCCAGCGTTTCCCGGGTTAATAGGCCCTGCAAAGGTTCCGTCACACCATGTTGGGAACCTCCACATTGGTAACTGGGCCTATTCTCCACGCCCATCCTTGATCCTCGGCCCTTTGGTGATGTTCTTGCTCAAGGGCTGTTAGTGTCGTGGGTCGTTGAGCTCGGAAGATGGGACACGTTCCAATGAGCTTGACTATCACATTGGACTATCAGTTCTCAGCCTGTTGCTGATCCTACCAATGTGACCTTTTGGAACTTGCCGTTCCCACACTCCAAGAGACCGATGGAGTCGGATGTCCGTTCGTTCGTCATCTCAAAGTTGAGTTTGGGGTAGATCTCGTACCCAAGTACGAACGATGGGGATATAAAGTTATGTCCGGGACCCTATGTGCGTTGGCCAGATCTTTCTCCAGAACTCTACCCCGAATCTCTCTATATAAGCTTGTTTCTCTCGTGTTGAGTCGACCAGCTTATCACTACTTATTTCTCATAAATCTTAGTGCAATACTCAGACGAGATGTCTTCGGGCACTCCTCCCTCCCATGGGGCAACTACCCCTACGCAGTACACCGATAAGGAGGAAGGCCACTATCATTGCAATCATCCCAATCATTACTATGAAGAACGAAATAGGAACGTTCAGAAGCCCCACCAGTCCATGGTGTCGCAGGTGTACAACCCTTCGTTCTTCAAGGTTGCCAATCCTGGTCCTTTGGGTTTGATCAGTTTCGCTTTGACTACCTTTGTCCTCGGCCTCTACCAGTGCGGTGCTGGGTAAATCATCCCCATATACCTGGTCATAGTTTTACATGCTAATCCTGTGTTACAGTCTCCCTGGATCAAACCCCTTCGGCGGCGTCGGTCCTGACCAAGCCATCTTTGGTCTGGCTGTCTTCTTCGGTGGCATTGCTCAACTTTTTGCCGGCCTTATGGAGTTCCGCGTCGGTAATACCTTTGGTACTACCGTCCATTGTTCCTACGGTGCCTTCTGGCTTGCTTTTGCCATGTTCTTCGTTCCTGATCTGGGTATCAAGGACGCATACAAGGGCGATGACCGCGCTTACAGCTTTGCATTGGGCATCTTCCTGATTCTGTGGTGCTTTCTCACTCTTATATTTTTTGTGGCCGCTCTCAAGACGAACATTGCCATCCTCATTGTTCTCGGTTTCTTGTTCCTCGCTTTCCTCTTCCTCAGCTTGGCTCAGTTTCTGCAGACCACTCACCCTACTGCTGCTATTCGAATCAACAAGACTGGAGGCGCATTCTCATGCATCTGTGCCTTCGCAGCTTTCTATGCAGGTGCGGCTGGTATTATGACTGAGGATACGACATGGGTTCGCTTCCCTCTTGGCGAAATCGATGTCCAGCCCAAGAAGACAAACATTGCTTAAGCACATGTGCTTCTAATGTTAGGGTGGAAAGCAAATGGCGGTAGGCTGCAACGTTGTTTCATAATGCATCGTGGAATAAGAATGAATAAGTATGTTTAATACCCGAACAATATGAGGATAATATGGAGATGAATAAGACATGATATCAGAAAAGACAACATTCTAAAATTGATGACGTCAGGTTTCACTTGCCTGAGACAAGTGTCACATACAGACAGCAGGTCTTTGTTTCCAGTTGTGGTATGATCACATAGTAAAAAGCCAACCTGACTTGGTCATAGTTGTGATGAGTTTAGCAGAAGATGAATGTGTTGATTGATTTCTTAATGCATAAAATTGGCTCCCCTAGTCGTATGATGCATGCCTTATAATCGTACAACAGACCATCGTGGGGTCTGAACTTCATTATATTCCATTTCAATCATGACAAGTTTAAGCTTTTCTTACAACTTGCCCTTGACCTCTTCGGCCGCACCCTTCACCTTGCCCTTGGCCTGCTCAGCAGCGCCCTTGGCTTCACCCTTGAGCTCCTGAGCCTTGCCAGCAGCCTCTCCTCGGAGCTCTTGGGCCTTTCCGGTGGCGCTGCCACCAGTCACATCCTGGGCAACATCCTTGGCCTTCGCGGCAACGTTTTCTGAACATCCTTATTAGCAATTGAACATCTTGAGCCAGTTGATAATTGAAAACTAACCGCCAGCCTCAATGCCGTCGACAATCTTGTCGCTCACAACACGATCAACCTTCTTGGCAGTGTCCTTGACAGCATCTGTGGCAGTTCGCTGCAAAGCAAAGCTCGTGGTGAATGTTCGAGGAGCCTGGAAGGCGATGACGCGAGGTGCGAGGGCTACACGGCGGATGACGTTCTCTGTGAGGAAAGACATGATGGTGGTTGCTGGTGTTTTGTTGTGGTAGAGTTTGGTTAGGATCTTTTATGTTGCGAGGTAAAGAAAAAGTCAATTGATGAAATTGAAAAGAATAGAGAGAGCTTTTCAAAAGGAGAAAGAGAGGCAAGGGAAGCTCTTGTAACTTATGTTATGACGACGGGAGCTTGTCATAGCTGTATGATGTCACTCGCGGGGAAAGAACTCCCTGTTGCGGCGCGACCAAACAAGCACGTGAGAAAAGGAGAGGTAATGATGACGCAGTGAGGCTTGAAATAAACGGGGAGAAAGCGCTGAGCTCAGAACGAGCTTGTCCTCTTTTTACGTTTTGTGTTCAATCTCATCATCGAAAGATCCCGCGTCCGATCGCTGAAGAAGGTTTGGGAGCTCTTGTGGGGAACGTGCGTTTACATAAAAAAGGCTGATGCTAGTGCAGTGGAAGGTACCATTAGATCTACGGCAAGTTTGTTAATAAGATCAATGTAACAACTTTTAAACTCAGCTAATATAACTCACCTCGAAGTGTCAAAACACTCGTGACCTTGAAGCAGCAAGCGAAAACACCCATTCAAAGAGCTACAAAACAGATCATAAATTATCCGAAGCTTGTCTGAGTACTTTATCGCTTTTAGAACCGAAGGCTCAAGTTTCTGTCATCTTTCCAGGCCTCACAGTTGTCCCTGACCGTATTCATTGGTTAATAGATTTGGCTTCATATCGCTTGAAGCTTATTTGCTTTCATATCTAAATCGGATTCAAATCTAGTACATTAACTCATAACAGATTTTTCAAATATCATCAGCCGTCGTTATCATGAAAAAAAAGAAGAAAAAAAAAGAACAAAACTTCATAAATCATCATTTCGTTGTGCCTTTTACATCTCTCTCGGCACTGATACCTTCTGGCGATGCCGCTTTAGGCCCTATCTCTATTGCTTCGCCCTCAATATCCCGACCATCGTGATTCGAATCTCCTAACTGCATAGTAGCAGCTTGCCGAATCATAAAACCCTCATCTCTGGCTCTTGGCGCCGGTTCGTCGCATTTCTCGTCGGTTTCATTATCATCCTCAATGACTTCAACTGCAGATGTCCCCACTCGACCGTTTATAACGTTGTCGATACGTAGCCTAGGTGGACCCGAGTTGAGCCTCATACCGTTCTTAGGAGGTCCAGCTGCATATGGAGTCAGCAAAATAGCAACTCGAACACATTTCTTGCGTATACTTACAAAGCAGGAGATCGAACAGCTTGACAATAACAGGTCCCCAGACAGTAACGGCGATGATCTATCGAGTACCATGAGATAAATGAACTGATCAGGGGAGCGATGGAAACTCACCTGGCCGTACGACCACCTGTTGGCAGCAAAACTCTCGGCATTGATGACTTTCGTTAGAGAAATCATGTACAATATGTTGATGACGAGATATGCGACTTCGAGGATACGCCAGAACCATATCTTGATAAAAAGACCTCTTTTCTGCTTCCCCCAGCGCGGCCATCGACCAAGACGGTATGATCCAATCTGAACATGTTTGGTGAGATGATGCTTGCGAAGTGTCCACGCCAGCTGATCAGCTACCAAGGCAATGATGGCAATGGTGTCGAGAATAAGAAACGTCATTTTGTACAACAAGGGATGCGGAAAGAAGCTGAAGGACTGTCCATCGATACCTTGAGTTGCGGCGCAATATGTTCGCGGACTTGGGTTGAAGCCGCACGCTTCTATCTGATTCTGGCTCTTGAACAAAGCAAACGCGTCTTTAAAATAGATCTTTTGCGATGTTGCGACAATGGCGAGAAGATACTCCATGAAGAAGCCCAAGAATGTGTGCCAGTTACGAATGCCCTCATGATGCAGACACACTTGGACGAGAAACATTGGTAGAATGCCATTCTGGCTTACATGAAATGCAATGGCAGCGTTGACAACGATCTCGCCCCAAAATGTACCCTCTTGAGAGTTGACAACAATGGCAAGAATCGATGCAATTTGAACAGCAAAGACAAACCAGCACTGAGCCTCTTGAAATTCGACTAAGGTGGTTGCAATCGCAATGCTCGTGCGCGACAGGCCACCAGAGTCACGCCAGATCATACTCTCAATTCGAGTCAGACTGCGCTTCAGGCGATAGGGCTTAGGTTCTGATTTGCGACGACTGGTATCTTGTGTAATAGTGACCCAGAGAGTGAAGCCTTTGAGTAGCAGATACAGGGATGCAGCGAAGCATACTTGAAGAACATACGAGATGAGAACCTGAAGCCCATGTCAGTGTCTAGAGGACTCAACAAATGCCAGTCGGACCTACTCCTGGTCCAAAGATATCTGGGTTGACCTCGGCCGGTAACTCTGGACAAAACTCGTCCAGGGCCTCGAATATCTCCTCAGGGGTGGAGGTATCATAGGAGAGGCGGTCAATTGTCCGGTTGCAAGGTTTGCTCAGACCATCGTTATCACAAGAATCTTGAGCGCAAGCGATGAGAGATCTGAGAACAGGTCGACCGTCAAACTCGGACAAAGTTCCAGATCCCATGATTGCGCTAGCATTGCGCTCAGTCTCTTGGCTGACATAGTAAGATTTCGCATCCTGAGTCCAATGCGCCGCCGCAGCCAAGGCAGCGCAATTGTAGAACGTTTCCAACGAGCTGAAGAAGAGACTGGAATTGTTGCAGGCGCGTGTGCAGTCAGTTCTACCATCGACCTGGCACCCAGAACTGAACAGAGTTATTTCCTGGTTCCCATCGAGACTTGTGGCGAAAAGCTCTTTGAAGGTGAGTCCCGAGTCAACATCATCAGAGCCAGAGCCGAGACCGGCGATGTCAAGAAACGGGAAGAAATCCGATGTTCCTTCGATGGAATCGCGAATGAGAATAGTGAGAGGTGTACTCGAGGCTGTAGATGATGGCGCAGACGAGGCGAGAGTTGTAGAAGTCAATAACGATTGCAGAACGGATGCTGATGCCATCGCGGAGATGTCTCTTGGTGAGACGTAGTGCATCCTCCACGGACTCAATTAACAACGTCTATCCATCGTCTTTGTCTAGTCTTGTGGCTATATCACTCGATGTGCCAAAGAATAAGAAAGGAAGAGAGAGAAGATCAACAGAAGTTGGAGGAGGCTGAAGATCCCATCCAATGGGTCCAGTTCGTCGCGGACTGGGATCTGGCTCGCTACTGTAATTAGTCTATGCCGTTGTCTTGGCACGTTTCCCCAGAATGGAAGTTTAGAGAAGTTTGTTTGGTGGCTGAGATGGGCTTTGTTTTCTTGGCTCTCAAGATTAGTTAGAGCAGAGGTGATATTGAGCAATTCCCATCAAAATATTGAAAAGAAGTCTAGTAATTATAAGCTGACTAGACATAACAGCTTCTTTGGATCGTCTTATTGTTGATCGTCATCATATCAATTGTATGTGGAACTTGGACCAACTCATCATCTCCACCAAACATGCTTCGTCGATAGTAGCAACCCTATATCCTACTCATGGGGGTTACCAGAATATTAAACAGAATTCAACAGGCAAGGATATATATAACCGTCTGAAGTTAAATTAACCATAAATCTACGGATGCTTCTCTTAAAATCCCGTCCTTGTCTTATCGGTTATCGGCTTAACATTATGAACCGACACCAACCGATGCACGTCATTCCTCGGCTTGCAATGCCGCCGTGTCTAAGATACCTTAATATACAAGGCTTCAACTTCCCACCACCAATATCGACTCAACGATCACCAATTGATCTGCTCAAAATGGCCCCTCGTCTCTCTCAACCCGTAGTGACCCTTCGTCTTCTCAGGCGTTACTACTCCTCTGCCACCGAACCTCTCATCCGCGTAACGAACCTCCCCGCGCCAAACACCGGCCATATTCGTATTCTTGAGCTTAACCGCCCGTCTGCGCGAAATGCCATTTCGAAGGCTCTTCTAGCGAACCTTCGCGCCGAGATCGATGCTGTGCATATTCAATATGGGCCCAATGGCGAAGAACTGCCACTGCAGAAGCGTTTCGGTGGTGCAGCTGGTGTAGATGAGAAGGGTCCTACGAGAGCTGTTGTGCTGGCTAGTGCTGTTGATACATCGTTTTGCGCTGGCGCGGACCTCAAGGAGCGTAAGGGGATGAGTCAGGGAGAGTCGGTATTCCTCATATCAAGTAGTAATGTGCTGTACTAATCATCGGGCACAGAACTGCTGAATTTCTTACAAATCTCCGCAACACCCTCACATCTCTATCCAACCTCCCCATCCCTACCATCTCGGCCATCTCCTCAGTCGCACTAGGTGGCGGTCTTGAGCTCGCTCTCTCCACACACTTTCGCGTTCTCAGTTCCAATGCAACAGTCGGTCTTCCTGAAACCCGTCTAGGCATCATCCCGGGCGCCGGCGGCACCCACCGTCTTCCCGCTCTTATCGGCCTCTCCCGCGCCCGCGATCTGATCCTGACCGGCCGTCGCGTTGGAGCTCCTGAGGCATACTTTCTAGGTATTGCTGATCGCCTTGTTGAGATTGTGCCTGAGGATGAGCGTGATGGCTCAGATGTTCTTGGCGAGGCCAGAAAAGCAGCGTTGAGTGAAGCTGTGAGACTTGCGCAGGAGATTTGCGAAGGAGGACCGATCGGTGTAAGGGCTGCTCTTCAGGCTGTTGCCTGGGCAAGGGAAGAGGTTGAGAACAAGATGTATGAGCGAGTCGTCAATACCGAGGATAGAAACGAAGCTCTCAAGGCTTTCCAGGAGAAGAGGAAGCCTATTTTCACTGGCCGATAAGGCATATTGAAGAGCTTGAGAGTCAATATCAAAACACGAGCAATGTGGACAGTATGAGTTTGTATGAACAGTTGACAAATTGGCCATTAGAAACAGATGGAGCCAACTTCAAGTTTTCTTTTTGCAACTCATGACACAGTATACAACGCCGTGTCTGCTATTCTTTCTGTATCTATCTGATCCTCTGGGTATGCCATCACCAAAAAAATCCCACCCCAAAAACCTGTTAGTTGCATGAACTCCGTTGAATGGTTCTTTGGCTCAATCGCGGGTTTATCCCTTTCTACTACCTCTATCCTTCTCACACCACGGATTACGATTTCTTTGTCTCTTCGTCCTCGGTAGCCTTCTTAAGCTTTTCTCTGGGCTTTGCTGCTTCGATAATGTGATGTACCATGCCGCGGGGCCAACGGTGCCGCCTGGCGTCAGCCGGAGGATTTGTCTGAGGTTTCACCTTCAACTTAATCCGTTTCTTAACCGCTCTGATAGCGCGATCGGGGTTTTCAAGCTCAGATCTTTTGCACTCTTGAGCTATTGTGTCACAGTCCTCAGGGGTTAATTTTACATGTATCACAGGTTCTGTTTCGGGGTCATCCAGAAATTGCTTCTCAGAGGCATGGAGCAATTTTGGGGGTTCTGATGTCCGATCATCATTCTTGACAAGCTTCGGTCGTTTTGTGGGTGATGTCGGAGCTTCATACACATCCGCTTCTGTAGAAGCACTAGCATCATCTTCGTCTGACAAAGAAAATCGTTTAGCTGGGTTTTGAGCGCTTTGGATTCCAGAGGCCACCGCCGCATCCGTTTTAGCTGGGGATGGCTGTTTGGACTGAACAGACGCTTGACCTTTTCTAGCCGACAATCGAGAAGGTTCCTAGTCACTGTTTTGCTCCGAGTATGCGGGCGGAAGCTCCTGAGAAGACTCTGAGGTCTTTAGCGGTTCGCTGTTGGTGACCGTGATATCTCCATCGGCGTCAAGGTTTTCGAACGAGGTATCTGATGGTGGTGCTGGTCTTCGACGCCGAGGTACGTCGACGTAAGTCTCTTTATCTTCATCGCGGACGTAGCAAAGAAAGTATGGCTCTCCACTGGTGCTCAATGTGTTCAAAACTTCATCCGTGCTGCGTCTGACCTCGACGTTGGAATCATTGTATTTGCGCCAAACATCCTGTTCAAAATCGTAAATCCATACCCAATAGTGACCAGACATCAGCTGGCCACGATGGCATATGACTGCATGGAGCCGATATGGATTGCTCTTCAACTTGGAGTAGTAGTTTTCCAGGGCTTCCTCCTTGTCTCTGAGCTCGGAATCCATCTTCTCCCGAATGGCGGTTTCGGTGTCTTTGATGTCTTTTGGCCTGGAAGGTAGACCAGCCGAGGTCACTGAGTTTACGCTGGGTCGGCCAACAAGAAGATAGTCGTCATCGACCGTACCATCGAAACTCCAGTCCTCTTCCACGATCTTCACACCATCTGCCATTTCACTGTCTTCTGTAACAGCTGCAATACTGCCTTTGCCGTCCTCTTCTTGTCCAATGCTCTCAAGGATGGGTCCAGTTGGAATCGTGCTCTCAACTGCAGCCTTGGAGGCTTTGATGTCAGATATGCGGCTGTGGGTGGCCCAACTCTCGACTCTTTTTCTGAAGGTCGACGACTCGTGAGGGGCATCCATGTATCGGTCGAGGTATAAGATTTCAGGAATTAGTACCGGGTTGCCATTCTTGCTACCCATAGACTGCGACCGTTGAATGAGTACGTGCAGAACAGGGGGTAGCGTCTTGATGGCTGTATATCGTGAAAGCTTGTCTTCTTCGATGATTTCCTGGTCGAAATTTCGGCCTAGAGCTTCGTATAGTGAGCATGAACCTTTGGGAGCGGGAAATGCTGTAATAGACCGATCAAAGCTAATTTCCTTTTGATAAGTGTTGTCATCAAACTTCTTGGTGTAATTGATGGTGGTAACGAAGAAAGTTTTCATGATCTCTTCAAATTGAATACCAGTTGACTTGTCAACGGATGATGGGCGTATAGCGGCTTGAAGACGATTGATGATGCTGCCCATTACCTCTTCTACATCCTGCTGGTCGGTGCCAGAAGACCTTTTTTGGTGTTCCAGAGCAGTCAGCACCTTCTGGTCGACCGTTTCTGGCTCCTCGACATCCGGCATGTTGACATCAGTAGACTCAATATCCTGGGAAGTGCCGTTCTTCGGGTTTTCGACAGCCTCGGGAATCTCCATAGGCCTATCACTCGTTCGGCTGATTTGAACGACATCCTCATCTTGTCCAACCTCCATCACTGTATCAATTACCTGATCTTCAGTGGTAGTTGGAGAGGTCTCCACTTTGTCATAAGAGCGGTCAGAATCCTCTTCGACAAGTGTCTGCGAGCTGACGGTGCTAGCTGTATCAACTGGGTCGCGGCTGTCATTGGCGGTTACAGTAATCATCTCCACATCGTTGTTCTCCTTTGCTGGGGGTCCAGGGGGCGGTCGAGTAGGAAGCGGTGGCGGCTGAGACTCAGTTGTTGCTTCAGCAGAGCTCTTCGTTTCTTTGAGGAGTGTGCCGGTGGACAAAAGGACAGCATTAGCTAGCCTCTGAGACGGACGCGTTGCTATCTTATCGGATTGTTCAAGGTTGTTGAATAGATCCGAAAGCTCCTGTACAACTGAGTTTGGTCAGTTAAGCTATGCGCCAACTAGAGGGTTTACCTAGACAAGAACTTACAAGCCTGAGCAACGACAGCCTCGCCACGATCCAGCTGCATTTTGTTACCACCAAGCAATCGCTCCTTGATTTTTTCATCCGTCAACTCGAGCTTGAACTTGTCATAGTTGATAACGACGTCTCGAACTGGTTTAACAGTAAAAAGATATTGTAAAAGGCTGTTGAGGTAGCACGTATTTCCAATATTCTCCAGTCCAACCGGAAGATCAAAGTTCGCAGCTTGTGCTGAGGCGCCCGTGGCGTTGCTTCCATCGGGAACTGCAATACCATGCATTTCTCTTAATTCGCTAACTGTGCTTTTGAGACCTGTTGAATTCGTGTGCTCGGCGATCTTCTCCATGGCCTCCAAGTAAGTTGTCTTGGCGTCCTTGTCTTTGGCGTTTCGAATCTGTATGCTTGATTAGACTCATGCTTTAGGCTCAACAACAACAACAACAGGCGCATATTTCTGACCTTTTCTTTCACGTCGTCCAGCGTATCGGGCCCAAAACCACTAGCATCACTTAAGCCAAGGATCTCTTTGGCCGTGGGTAAAGAAAATCCTTCCCCATACTCCATCACCAACTCTGCTGTGTAGTTGTCATCGGTAGATGCTTGAGAGATCAGCATCAACATATTTCGCGCGGTGTTAGCACAGCTGGGATCTTGTGCCACCTTTCGTCGAAATGCCTGAACTATGGATTGTGCCTTGTAGTCGTTCAGAGGCTGTAGCTCGAAGAATAGCAAAGCCTGATTTGTCAACCCCCCATCGTCACCGTTTGTTTGACTTTGTACTTGGCTCTCGAAGATTGATGATTGCGTAACAGCGTATTCATTGAGCTGTTCGTCGTTAAGGTCATTCCCAATACTCATAAGAGCATCAATGAGTGCTTTTCGCTTATCAGGAATCATTTCCCACTGTCTCTTGTAAGCATTGACAACAACCTCCTTCGACTGATTCGGCAAAACGCCCATGATCTCATAACGCGTGATATTCACTAAGACAGAATCCACGTTCGGTACCTCTGCGCATCCCAAATCGGCATGTAGACCAGGGGTGCAAAGCTCAGCAGGCTGGCCGCCTCTGTGTATAATGCACTGAACTTCAGATCTCACATCTTCGATGTATGCTCGATATGTCCCTAAATCGGTAGCCCCAGAGGGGTTATCTGACCGAGGAGGGATCGGTGGTGTGAAAGTCCCTCCATCGACTCCATCTTCCGCTACATCAACTGTTTCCTCGAATTCGAGTTGTCTGAACATTTCAAAACATCGAGTCCCGAAGAGTACAAAAAATCGCTTATTCCTTTTAGAAATACTCCTGGCGTTCTCCTGTGAAGTGGCCTCAAGTAAGTTCTTAAGATATGTGTTCAGGTTCAGAGGAGCTTGCAGTGCCCAGTCATCAGTTGCCGCGGCGTACCGGTCCGGATCCTGTTCCTTAGCACGGCGCACATTCTTACGAATGGTATCGTGGTCAAGTAATAGGTCGATCCACTCACGAGTCATGCGAGGTTCCGAGATTTCCAGTGTGACTGAGAACGTGCATGGGCCGGCTGAGCATGCAAAAGGCTCGCGAGCAACTAGTGGGTAATACTTATTTCGTTGTCTGTCGTCAATCTTACCGAGTGGCGAAGATTGCGATTCTTGCCCAACCCAAACAAGATGATGCCAGGGGAATCTCGCATCACTCGGAGGCCACTGTTCCTGTTGAGGGTTGCATGACTCTTGAGAGTGTCGCTCGTCCCATGACATCTTAAACACAAAATGAAAGTGGCAATCAACGCACACCGAGGATAATACCCGCGTTGAGTTGGTTGAGTAACTCTGGTTACCATTTATCATCAATCGATGGGGATGCTCCCAGGGATATGGTGCGTTGAGTTCTGTTTTGCGCAACCGTCCGAAGACATCGCATACAGTGAAGTTATTGTGCAAGAGTTCATATATCCATCTCGAAGGGTGACATCCTGGAAGCAGTACAGTTGGCTACCGAGCTTGATTCTTAGGGTAATTGTAAACATACCTCCCAAATTTTGATTTAGTATCCTGGCTTTAAGAGGCGTCGAGTTTTGAGTGACAGAAGTTCCACTTGTCCCAGGCAAAGAAGCGTAGCTCGTATCTAGATCCTGTGCGGACCTCAGGTCGTATCGGCTCGCCATGAGGAGCTACTTGGATGCTTGATCTATGTGTGATTGACAGTACTGCTTGATAAATCCGCTTGTATACTTTATCAAGATGTGAGGTCGGAGGTAATATAGTGCGTTGGAGAGGGACGGATTCCAGTTTGTGGATTGCGGGGTGGCACTTGTTGGACTACTAGCAGACAGGCAACCGTGGGATAAATTCTTCGTGCAACGTGGAGAGATACGGTCCGCTGAACAGTGGAATTAGTTCGCTGGGAAGATTCAGTTTCGTCTGCGCGGAATTCGTCGGATCGGTGAATGAACAACCCCAGCCTGGTGGCGGTCGAAGCTCGAGCTATGAGGATGAATGAAATCGTACGGGTCGATAGCTTCGTGCTTATTTAATCATAATTTCGTGAATCGAGACCCGTGGCGAAAACAACGAATAATAAACGTCAAAAGAGGCTAGCTGAGAAGAAATAATTTGGATGCCTGGGAAAGTTTGACGACGCTCGCGATGATGGCGACGTAGACAAAACGACGGTAGCTGACGCAGTGCTCTTTCTTGGCCTATGCGATGGATGATGCAAGTGCTGAGTCAGCACCTTAATTGGGGTGGAAGGCTCAATCTGGGGGTTAATGCGACAGCTTAGATGCCCTTTACCTATCAAATATTTCTTTTATTAAATTAGTAGGTAGTATTAAAGCTGTTTTAATTAAGCTTTAGCTTACGTACCTTTTTTCGGTCGGCAAGTTCTATTTCCATGCCGAAAGGTCATTGAATGCGACGCCTTACGCGAAATCCCACCGAACTTGGGGAAGACAGTGACGGTACATATGCATTTCATCAGCGGCGTTCTCGCTACGTCCTGTTCCACGCATAAGTTTTTCGTTCGCAATTAGCCGAACGCGGCTACCCCAAGTATCACTTGAATCGCATCTTTCCCTTTATCGATTAATGAGAAGTTTCTCGTACAGCTCATATCTGACGCGTCCCCTGTTCACGGCACGGTCCAGTGACAACTCAGGCTCGTGCTATTCATCGGAACGAAGCAGCACAAATAATATTGACTCCAACCTGAGGAAATGCCCCTGTTTGCTACGCATAGTTACACGGAGTACACACAATGTCAGCAAATGTCATTCACCTCCGTGATTCTGCGTATACAAAGTGTAACATTTGTCTGGGCCCAGAAACCAAGCTCGAACGAAAAAGACGGATGGAGAAAAATAATCGATATCAGTATCTAAGCAACTTGCCTTCTAGGGAATAGAAATGCATTCTTTTCCTCATTCTTCTTGATTATCAATACTAGTAAAGCAGACAGGAAATTTGGCACAGAACCTCAATATACTTAAAGATTCTCATCAGCAATCTACTTACTGCCTAGTAGGTAGGTAATTAAGAAGGTATTCGTTACTAACAAGTTGAAAACACTGGTGATTTGTAAACCCCTCTCGATCTAAAGAAACAAGAGTCTAGGTATGTGTATCAAAATACGGCTTTTTGAGTAATACGATTTATGAGGTCCCAAATAGGGTTTTATAGAGTTGGCCTCAGGTATTAGGTATCGTTTGTGGGACTGGATCTGCTGGAAACAATACCTCTGATTCCATCTAACACCAAGCTTGATGCTGAAGCAGGGTTCTCACCAAACAGTGTCGTTACCAATCCATTACGAAAATATTAGTACAGTATTTCGGTTTTCATTGCGCCAAATTGACTTAAGTCGTAAAAATAGGACAACGCTACTCTTCGGTGGATAGCATCTACAGTAATAGATCTTAGGATATCACCAACACTCACAAACAGCGTCCAATCGGAAAACAAGTCAACCCTGCAGATCATCTTTCATTTCCCGCGTCACGGAAAGGCGCCACCCGGCACTAAAGCGAGTTAAAAGGCTCAGCGCTTGAGCAGTTAGCGCTCCGTCCAACCGCAACGGTCAATTAGCCGCCCATTCTTCAAGCCCCTTATGCAGATTCCCCTCAAACATTAACGCTGCAACCACGCAACAGATAAAGTAACTTCAAAAGTCTTGTTTCCGAGATCCAAGGCCTTTTTTTCTGGAGTATCTGATGCGCTGGAAAGTATGCGGGAGAGGTCATCCATCAGCTTTGGCATCTTTTCTTGCAGTGGGACTGCTACCGTGCTGAGTTGTCTATACAGATGGTGCGGCATTCTGCCAGGATGACCCTCCCAGGACATAGCGCGAAAGCCGAAGTATCGGACTATCTACAGGAGCTAGTATTGGTTGACTTTCGTTCGGCGCTTAATCCAGGCTGATTTTGTAAAGTTAGGTAGCATTGTATCCTTGACGGCCCAGTTATTCCTGTTTCGTGATAATGAACCATCGACCAACATGCATACTCCTCTTGCCTTAACACATCTTCTGCTTTTTTACTAGACATTCTGTTTACTCATTGGATTGAGAGGTGTTGGTTCCAAACACTTGCTTCTTATGGAAAGTTCTACTGTTCATCAATTGTCACTATGATACGACAGTCTTAATGCGGTTGTCACCCAGCACTTGAGCCTCGACATTTCTTCTTCCTTTTCAATTAATTTGTGTGGAAAGTGGCAGGCCACTATTTCCCTTTCTATATATCTTTATTATGTCGAGCTGGGAGACGACAGCCCTTCGGCTGCACGGCAATGTGGCCGCCGACTCAACACCAAGCTCTCTACACAAGAGTCTACCACTACTACCAAAGAGAAATGTCAAGGCCAGGACAACTTCAGGCGTGAAAGGGGTATCTTCGGAAGAGAAAAGCCACAGGACGAAAGGATGGAAACCACTCTCGCTTTCGACGCCGATGTTACTCGCTATGATCGCACTTACGATTCTTCTCGCCGTCGCCGTTGAGACATTAGCACAACGCAGTGCAGCACAAGGTGGTCTCGCTCTCTCACCTTCTCTTGATGATATGCCCGGGTATGCCAAATTCAGCTATCTTTATGTGCCGACTATTATTGCTGTATTGTACAGTATGCTTTGGAGCTGGATCGATCTGGACGTTAAGCGGATGCAGCCATGGCTCGAGTTGTCTAAACGTGAGGGCGCCACTGCCGAAAACTCACTGTTTCTGGACTACCAATACGAATTCGTGGCTCTTGTTCCTTTCAAATCAGCAAAGAGAAAGCATTGGCCCGTTTTCTTTGGGGGAACTGCTATGGTCATCGTCTTTTGGGCACTAACACCCCTTCAGAGTGCTCTGCTTGGTACAGGTATCGTAAAACAGACTGACATGACCACACTCGTGAACAGGTCTCAGCTGCTTCCCGTTGCCGAGCATGTTGTGGTCCTTGATCCCGAGTTCCTCAATACAGGGTATGCCATAGGCTGGCTCGGTCAACAATTTCCTGCCTTCACGACGCCCGAATATGCGCTCCTCCCATTTTACGCAGATACAAGCCCCAAGCTTGCTAACTTGGAAAATCGTCAAGCAGTCCCTTCGAATATAACCGCAGAAACTACCAAGCTTTGGACTGAACTCAACTGTTGGCCTGCTGAGATCGCAAGGAAAGGTATCCGAAGCAAGGAAGAGTTCAATTTTTTGAACGGACAAGGTTGTAATACAACCGCTGGGTTTGGAGCAAGAAATGAGACAAGAATGTTCTACATTGGCTTTTATACCAGTCCTTATTCGGACTTCCAAATCGAGAACCCAAGATGCGGGCGGACTCCTGATTCAATACATCAGTTCTTGGCGATCTGGGCCAAAGCTATTCCTGTCGATTGGGACCCATCGCCAACCTTCAACATCTCTGCCATGTTTTGTCAGCCTCAGTACTTCAAGCAGAAGGTTCTGGCAACAGTCAACGCGGAGACCTTCGAACCAGATAGGGGATCTATCCTGGAACTTGGACCACGAGAAACTCTTTCAGATAATGAGTTTAACAGAACTGCCTTTGAGTATCTCATTGCAAATGGGATGGCAGAGACACCGATTACGAAAGATTATCCCTTCAATGCTGTTGTTGAACAACATCCGCGACTGAACCACACCAACCTCACGTTTCCTGTATCTAACATGGTTGGCTTCGCATTGGCGGGAAAGGACTTGGATAAGGATCAATACGTACATCACGACATACTGCACAAAGCATACAACGACGCTCACAAATACCTTTTCTCGATTGCAACAACGACTATCTTGATGAACTCGACCACCTTTTCTAACAAGACTGTATCTGTCGAGTATTTCATGACTGGGGTTATAGTCAGTCGAACTTTTGCGACAGCGGTGGAATGTTTCTTGCTCATTGTCGCCATTTTTACAGGACTTGTTTTATGGTTTTCGCGGGCCGCACCAAGCAACCTGCCAGTAAATCCGTCTTCGATAAGACGTTACATCGACTTATTCAGCGACAGCCCGGAGGCACTCAGCACATTCAAGCCTGTGGGTTACACTGATGATAAAGGCCTTCTTGAAGAGTTCAAGATGGACAATTTCCAGATGATAGCCAAGGATAACGGTACTAGGGTAGAATTACTGATTCACTCGAGGCTTCAAGCACCAGAATCTTATAATAAGTCTGTTCCAAAGGACTACTATGATCCTGTCAAGCCTTTAGCCCTCAAGAAATGGGCCGGTCTCCTCTTCATTGTCTCCCTCATCGGCGCCATGGCTTTTCTGTCGTACTTAAAACAGCAGGAAACCATACTGAATGGTCCGAGGTCTCTCATAATGGAATTGATAGTCTTACTAATGTGGACGCAGGTTTGATTCGTCCTTCCGATAATTTCGAAGTCCGTCAACTATTGGAGAACTACATCCCGACTATCTTCGCAACACTCGTTGAACCCTTCTGGGTCTTGTTGAACAGACTGCTTTGCGTTCTTCAACCTTTCAAAGATCTTTCGGAAGGGAAAGCAAAACCAAAGAATACGATTGACGCTACATACACTTCAATTCCGCCCCAGCTGGTCTTCTGGAGAGCTTTGAAATCAAAACACTTCGTCCTTGTCCTTGTCTGTTCCATGGCTCTCCTTGCAAATCTTCTCGCTGTTGGCCTCGGTTCCCTTTTCAACGAGAATATTACAACTGCGAATTACACGGTCACCATGATCCCAAATTTTGCGCCACGATTCAATAATGATTCCGTCTTCAAACTCACTGACTTTTTACAACGGGATCTTATTACTACTAGTTTTTACCAAGACCATTTTTATATAGCAATGGCCAACATTACTTCGGGGACACTTCTTCCCCCTTGGATTTCACAAGAGTACTACTTTCAGAAACACCAACTCAAAGACTCGACTTTCAATAGGACCGGAGATCTTTGCACTATCAGTACAAGAGGCTTTGGTGCTAGTGCTAATTGTAGTGCTATACCAACTCATGAATTGACCACTAAGTACGAGATACCAGAATTCTGGCCTGAGTACCGGATGAACCTGAGTCAATGTACAACTGATGACCAGTTCGTCGCAAAAGCCGTACCGGTCATTCGCCAAGCAACAAATAACCGATCCACGGGTGTCTCAGCGATAGAGTATAGCCACACAGTCGACAGCACTTTCTCCTCGCCACCTTGTGCGCGAACGATGACTTTTGGATGGGGTCGTACTCTAGAAGCGAAGAACATTAACGGCACAGTCGAGGCCAGTTTCATGGTCTGTCGTCCAATATTTCAAACCGCCATGTTCAATGTCACAATCGATCCTCTAGGTAATGTTATCTCATATGAGAAGACGAGCGATCTCAAGGCCACAATGGACTACAACAACTCAAATCTGCATACCGATATCATATTTCAGACCTATAATCCGCGGTGGAATACAGATCCTCAATGGCATAACCACACACTCTCGATGAATTGGATGAGTCATCTCATTATGGTTATCAATGGTTCAAGATCAACCCTCGACCCGAAATCTCCCACGCCGGATTCGAAAGACCTGATACCAGTTGTTTCTGACATATACCGCCGTGTTTTCGCCATCTTCCTCGGCCTAAACGATCATATTTTTGAGAATAATGATGAGGGCGAACCAGTTGCTGCAGTACGACATACAAAAGAAACTCGAATTTTTATGGAAGATGCGTCTTTCATCATCACCATGACAATACTTGCCCTGAATACCGTTGTTGCTGGCTTATTCTATTTCAAGACTGTTGCTTTTGTCTTGCCACGCATGCCAACGACTCTTGGTGCAGTTGTTGCGTATTTTGCACCAAGTCGTCTTGCTACTGTGGCTTACAGAGATGCGCCAGGTCGATCCTCTCGGACCATTAGCTTTGGAAGATATATTGGGGTGGATGGGAAAGTACACGTTGGGATTGAGGCAGATCCTCACGTTGTGCCTATTGATCCTTCATCACTCGGACCACAAAGAAATTATTTCAAGTTTCTTAGATTCAGGGGGGGAAAGAACATGGACAAGCCGGATCGAAGTGAGACATGGCTTTGAAAACCCATGAATAGATGAATATGACTTACGATTGTAACACGAAAGCATGAACGCGTGTCAACACGAGTAAATGTTAAATAATAGACCTACGAACGCCAGGGCTCGTTACGCTCCTTTGGAAGGGTACTCCTGGAAGGTTTTTGTTGAGTACATCACCGACTTCCGTTGATAAGACAGCTCATTTATCTATCTGTGTACAGAGCTCGAGTTGGTAAGCAAGAGTCAATCGAAACCGCCACGTCTGTCTGTAATGCGTAATTAACAAGTCAATACGAGATAATAGGATTGAGTACAATATTCATTTGCATTTTAATTCTACAACGAAGAATGCTGCCGTGTGGAAGCGAAAGAAGTCATACAAGGAAAGAAAAGTGATTTAGTCCCCCAGGCGCCTAACCAAGCCATATACCAGCCCCAAGCCTCCATGAGCACGTTCTTAACCTTCATAAATTTCCTAGATCTGCGAGCGCTTTGCTCGGCGCATGTTCCTTTTGCCTCGCTTAGTGATCATGGCAATATCAGCACTTTGACCAGGGGTGCAAGTGACACCAGAAGAGAGCTGCTGGGCGGCAGTCCAAGCACCACTGGCACAGCGCTGGAAAGTTGAGCCGCCGATACAGTTCCATTCGCCCTCGTTTGTACAGGCAGTTCCAGCAGCGAAACCACTACTTCCAGCACCAGAATCAGAGCCGCCACCGCCAGAGCCAGAGCCGTCCGTGGGTGTCTCGGGAGCAGCAGGAGCTTGAGTGGCAGTAGGTTGAGGGGCAGAAGGCTGAGAGACAGTGATGAAAGCGCCACCAGGGATTTCAGGGGTACCGTTGGAACCATCGCCAGAGCCAGAGCCAGAGCCAGAGCCAGAGCCAGAGCCAGAGCCAGCACTGGGAGCAGGAGTGGTCGCAGGCTGAGTGGGCTGAGCACCGACGTTCGTAGTAGGAGCAGCAACGGGAGCCGAAGGCTGGGAATCATCTCCGCCAGAACCACCACCAGAGCCGCCGCCGGAGCCGGCCTTCTGACATCCCTCTCCCTTAGCATCAGTGAGCAAAGTCTTCAGCTTACTAACGTCTTTGCCGGGGTTGGGGAATTTGAGGTCAGTGTCGGCAAGAGTTTCACAATCATTACCAATGTTGGCAACAAACATGTCGGGGAGAGAGTCCAAGTAGTCTTTGGAGCCACCGGAGCCCTCGACATTAATAGCGGCACAGTTCATGTACATCTCGCGATTGCCGACGTGGTTAAACCAGGTCCAGGCAAGGGTGTATTCACCAGCGGCCAATTCCTCAGGGATGGTGAAGTCATATTTATCGGGGTTCTCGGCCTTGGCATTGTCACCCAAGTTGCCGGTAGCGGTTCTTGAAGGACAGCCGCCTTCGATGGACTTGATGACCTTCCACACCGAGTCCTTGGTTGGGTTCTTGTCAGTGGTAAGAGAAACCTGGCATGAGCCTCCACCATGGACAGCTTGGCCAGTGAAGGAGAGCTGCTGCGTGCTGCCTTGCTTATAGACGTTGTTTACGGAACCATCGTTAACAGCACCCTTGCAAGGGAAGTTAGCCCCGCTTGCGTCCAAAGGGCTGTTATCTGGGCTTCCGTAGGGCTTGGGATTGTTCATGAGCATATGAGCACTGGCCAGGGAAGCCAGGCTGGCAAAAGTGAAAGCCTTTGCGAACATTTTGATTGAGGGGTGGAAAAGTCTAAACGTTCCGGACGATAGACTTGATGTTCCGGTAGTGAGATTGCCGTCAAGACAAGAATCGAGTGATATGGGTATAGGACTAAAGAGTCGTAGCTCGATTTGGGTATGAGTGAAGGAAGGGTCGAATTGCACCAGGCAATACGCGAATGTCGTCGAGACAGAAAGGACTAGCCTTTGGAAAGAAAGAAGAAGGAATGGAAATGTCGTTGAGACAATCTCACTTTGAAGGACTGGCTGGAGACTTTTGAAGTCGTTGGTGAAGAAGAATGGTAACACGGGGGAGGAAACGGCGTCTTATATGGACTTGAGCTTGCTCGATGGACTGGCCACCAGTGTTCTGAGGGCAGACATAGAGGCAAGGGGATTCCGTGAGCGGGAGAAACACCTGCGAACGGACGCGGCTGCATGCGACTCAGAGGCGATCATAGTGGACCTTTTCTCCGTGTAGCCAGGGAAGAGTCAACTGCTAGTAAACATGCATAGCCACTCAGGTTTCTTCAATGCAATTGCTGAGTCTCGTTTCGAAGCAAGGCGGAGGGGTTAGGCCCGGAGGACTAAGAGACGATTTGCAGCAAGCGATGCATGATAGGCTGACGACAATGTTTCAAAACTCATCTGGTCACGAAAGGAAAGTGTGAGTGGACTGGACCCATGCATACCCCAGAGGAAAAGACGAGGTTTGCCCCTGACTAGCGATTCGTGTGTTTGCAGGGAATCTGTCCTGCCTGAAAGAGGGATCTGTATGGAAGACGACAACGGATCTATTGCCGTCGCCCTTGTTCAGCTGCGAGGCCCCTGTACGGTTTGTTCAAGCGCCTTCTACAAGAATGATGAGCCACTCAATGATTTGTCGTTTGTAAACGGGTTCAATGCCGTCAGCTTAGCGTAGGCCGCCCATACATACTCCATTGTGGCAAGGGAGCTTAGTCGGTGAAGTGATGACTGAAAAGAATATGTGGTTGGGGCGCAAGGGACTCCAGTTGTGCGACCACCAATCAGGCCCTGTCGAACCAAGTGCTCGGGAAGGACGATGGCCAGACTGGGGACTTTGAACAACCCTGCTCTCAACGTCATGCTACGGAAAATAGCACAGAAGGCTTCTGTTCATGTCCTGGAATACATTTCACCTTGGAAATACCCCTTGGGTTCTAACATGTTGGAAGGCTCGACAGGAAGATTCACATAATAATTCGACATCCATCTGATGATTTGCCTCAGTGATCCGAGCTCATTGTCGAGTCAATGCATTGTTCGGACATCCGTGTCATCCCCTGCAGTGGCAGTCCGTCGTGCTGGGCCAGCCATTATTACGAGAAACCTAGCTCTTGATAGCGGGGTTCCGATGCCAATCAGGGGGCGATGACAGGGATATAAGGCTGAGCGACAGGGGTATGGCCAAGCGATCGTGTTGAAATGGATTAGTGGCTTGAAAGTCCAGAACCAGTCAGTTGTCACATTCTTGCCAAGACAAGAAAAATTGAGGATAGTGAGATTTGACGGCCACAGAGAGGAATTTCGCAAAGATTTATGCTGCACATCGAGATACCGCTAGGTATAAGTTCGCAGCTACCATGAGTAGCTTGGCCTTGACCTTGGACCTTGGTGCGACTAGATAATAGTATCGGAGGTCCGACTGGATCCATTGTCATTGCAGGCTGGGCATTCTGGAGGCCTGCCATCTTGAGCAACCCCCTGAACGATCGCCTCCAAGTCAGGGGGCAGCTGTAGATCTTGAACAGGGCAAAAATCTTTAACGTGTGGTCGAAAAGATCTCAAAGAATGTCTCCTGACACTCCTCCCTTTTTGGGATTTATCTCCGTGTGACGAACTAGGACGGCAGGGGACCGTCTCTTGGACTCTCGGAGAGATAAATCGTTTTTCTTCTCCCTCATGAAACAGGCGCAGTTTCATAAGTTGCTTCCTTAGTGACAATGGGCTCTTATGACAAGCCAATCATAAAGAGAATGTATCATACACGAGGCGTGGGCGCCTTGCGTAAGTTGCGGATAAAGGCCTCATTCTGAGAATTTTCTGCAGGGAGTTGTCATGATGTTTCGCGTCTTGGTGTTTTGGTGTTTCGAGTTTGGATGAGAGGTGGTGTTGGTGTTGGTGTGGGATTGAGAGATCTGATGTTGGTTGGAAAGCTGGGAATATGTGTAGCGCCCGGAGGGAACCGAAACTTCTTCCTAGCCAACGTGGCAGGCTGAGTGGTCAGCTTCAGTGAGTGATAGCACTTATAAGTCTTCTTAGCGTATGGTCTATCGACAGAGGCTTTGTGCCTAAATTCTTTTTGAGGCCAAGGTGAGATGACGCTTGCGTCTAGAGCACGCTTCATAAGATCCGAAACCAGAAGTTTGATGTTTTGTACCTCTATTGGATCTGGCAGGCGCATGATGAGATCCAATCGCCGTGTTACATTAACGCCAGATACAGCTCTCTTTAGGGCTGACGGCACTATATGCAGACAGCTCGAAATAGCATTGTTGTTGTTGTTTTCGACACTCTCACCTACGGTCACCAATGGTGAATCGCGTATAGTCGCCGATATATCTTCAGTGACAGCTGTCTAGGTTAGGCGATTTTTCAGCCATTCTCGTGACTAGAAGCTCATGCAGCCCAACCAACAAACAGACCTGGAAAAAAAACAGGGGTGATATCAGACGAAACACGGCGATTCTCTCATAATATCTACCAAGGTCAAGGGTCTTAATAAGGGTCTCGGAGTTCAGATGATCCTCACTCAGCTCGTACTTGTACTGTAAAACTTGAAAACGACAACCATGGTTGAGATTCAACTTGAGAATCCGCATGAAAGCACCGACCACATTTCTCCATCAAATATCCACGCGTTAGGCCAATTGAACACTGTCGATCTTATTAGTCTCTGTCTTAAGTTTCAAACATAACGAACAGGGCCGGGTATAGCAGCCGCGTAAACAGGTGGCGTGAAGCCATATTCCTCTCGGACAACGAGGAGGATTTCCACCTGTAACCCTTGACCCAAGCACGTTCGGAGAGAACCACCGGGAACCATCAGCCACATTTCACATAGATTAATACAGAACGAGGCTCTTTGCCACTATACACTTATTGATAATTCCAATTCCAACTTGCACTGGAAAGGAAGCTTCTCGACACTTGTTACTTAAAGGATTCGCCGCAACGTTTCGTCAGCAGGTAGACCTAATGCGTTGCGAACTTGTATCATCTGCAAAGATGCACTAAATCTGGCAAAGTTGAGACTCTAGCTTATATCCTTCATTAAAGTAACCGGATACATACATGCATCTTCAGTATAATGAAATAAAGGTTGCGATAGCCCGTGGACAGGTGCGTCCCGACAGCCTGGGACAATTTAACCGCCCATGACTTAATGAGTCCCAACGCTCTGTCGGCACAAGGTCAACGTCAGACCTGCAGTTATGAATTACTTTACGATGCGTTGTCCAATTCTTGGCACAACCGGGCGCTTGCGAAACTCTTTAGAGATAATGATTTGTCTATTTCATCTCGTACGACTATATCATCTATCTATGAGGCCCATTCCGCCAACCGGTTTGATGGTGCCAGTGTCTCTATTCTTCACCGCTGTAAGGCAAATCCATTGCAGCTAAGCAAGCGACTGACCTCTGATACTGGGAAAGCGCTTACAGAAACAGGTGTTTACTTCCACTCATCCCACTCATTATTGGCGGTTCCTTCGGGGATGTCTGCATCCGTATCATTAGTATAAGCACCTGAGCATGGTTGAATAAACTTACCCTCGCCAAAACCCAGACCAGCTCGAGTCCAGTTCTTCATCTTCGACTTTCGAAACTCTTCGAAATCCCACTCGCCCTTCTCAAGGTGATCGGGGTTGTTGAAAACGTAGACAAAAGTCTCCTTGGCCTCCCCCTTCTCAGGAGCAGTTCCGTCTTTGTTGAGAAGCTTGACTTTAACCTTCTCCTTGAAGTACTCGGATCCCTCAAACATGTCGAGCTTGTCAACGTTGCCGTCAGTCAGTCCAGTGGCATATACGCCAAGGACAGTGTGGCCCTTCTCGGGGATCACTGCAGGGTAATCCGCAGACTCAACTCTGTGGCGACAGTAGCCGTCTAGGATAGCAGGAGTGAATGTGTGCATGTCCTTGATGGCCTTGGGAGGGTCACGATTGCCGTAGCAGACAGTGAAGAACACCTCGGGAGCCATCTGAAGTAATAGATTAGTACTCGATTTCGAAAACGACTTGTAAACCCACCAAGGTGCCTGCATAAGCTTTAGTCAACACGGTTCAAGGAGTCTTAACATACATCACTCACCATAGAAGAAAGCCGTAAAGTCGCCACTCATTTTCTTGGGGTTTGGTTTGAGGTGAGAATATCGTGTGTTTGAGTCACTATGTAGATGGATGTGATAACCCAGTTACAAAATTGCGTAGCGAAATGTGGTGCGGATGATTTGTGACGGAGGAGTTTAGCCTGACGAGAAAGAATAGAGTTTAATATATAGTCCACAGAGGAGAGTAGAGTTATAACTAGGGAAAACCTTTGCGAGTTGGGTTGATGTCTACTTGATCAGTGAATCATCCTCCGTTACCCTATCCCTGAGCTGAGGTTATCAAGCGCACCGCAATCAGTGGGGCAATCAGCACGTATGAGGAATTCTGTATCGAATTCCCCTTTCTGTGCTATTATTTGCCTGACAAGCATATTGAGTTGTGAAATTGATTTCGCTAATATGTTACATGTAGCTGTTCCATATCCTATACAAGACAAATAGTTCTTGTTGTTTATAAACCCCAAATTACGGAATCAAGCATTCTAAATAATGTAGCACAATTTGCTTGTCCTCGTCCTTGTCTTACATGGTCGTCGAGGAGGAACAGATAAGATATAAGATAAGATACGGTCATGCCCGCGCTCAGCTCGTGGACCTTGACCTGGAGAGTAAGTCAAGCATGATTGGCCAAAAAGTGAAGCTAATGCCGGTCAAATGTTAATACGGCGTTAGCGTCTGAGGAATTGGCGGCTGCACCCCCCAGCATAGTCGTTCTCGTAATTTTCAACGCGACAGCCCTTCACGTCAAGTTCGACTTTCAAGCTTGCCTAGCAAGACCATACACCTATCGCCCATCGCAAACCACCACGAATCCTCCACATTGCCTCGCCGACATCACGCCCTAAACTTCCAGAGACTGCTACGAAAGAACCTACAGATTGGCCTTTTTGTTTCGTTCGCTGTTAATGACACGATATCGATCGCAATAAGCAGCTCCCTAACTCAATCTTCCTGCCCTCAAGTTTAAAGGGCCGGCATCATACCGACACCTCTGCGGATGGAGTTTCGCCAATAATGCAGCCATGTCGGGCACCACTATAGATGATGTCGTTAAGCGACTCAGCGCAACTGATATCGGTACGAGTACACTTGAAATCAACCCCGCCGGAACTGCTGTCGCATGTCTGCAATATTGTGATCATGGCCACTGACGAGGTTCAAATCTAGATGTTAGACTTAAGCTTGAAGCTGCAACTACGTTGCGCGATAGCTTAGATCACTATACCAGTGGTCAAATATACCCGCCATTCCTAAAGAGATTAATGCCCATCTTCTTTACCATCTTACGCGGACCATGCATCTTTCAAAGCAACTCACCAGACCAGGTCAGTTTGGAATTCCAAAGGATCAACCTGCTGCTAACGTGCGGCAGAAACTTCGAATGGCCATCCTCGAGGTCATTCACCGACTACCTACCCAGCCCGCTCCTCCCGAACCCTTCGAACCCCACGCCGAAGAGACAGTCGATTTGTTGATGCAACTTGTACGAACAGACAACGAAGAGAACGCGACAATATGTGTGAAGATAATATCGGACATTATGCGCCACCAGCACAAGGTGTTACAGGGCAAAGTACAGCTCTTCCTCACTCTCATTCAAGAGCTTTTCGAGCAAATGGAGAAGGTCGTTCGAGAGCAGCTTGACAATGCACCCCATAATGCGCCATCGCAACCAGGAGCGCCCTCAACCCCTGGCAACTCGCAGACGAACTTCCAGTCCCCAAGGCCAGGCTCACCAGTCGCTTCCGTCAACGATCTTGGTACCGATACACAGCAACAGAACCGCCCCCTGCTGAAGGGCATGCACTCCTTCAAGGTTCTCTCCGAGTGTCCCATTATTGTGGTGTCCATATTCCAGGTTTACCGAAACACGGTGCAGCAGAACGTTCGGAAGTTCGTCCCTCTCATTCAGAATGTGCTGTGCCTCCAAGCTTCAGCACAACAGCAAGCGCACGCCGATGCTGCTGCCAAAGGAACCATTCATACGGGAGTGAGCCCTGCTATCAAGAACCGGGTGGCATTTGCCGATTTCATTACTGCTCAAGTCAAAACGATGAGCTTCTTGGCATATCTCCTTCGGCAATACGCCTCGCATTTGAATGATTTTTTGCCTCGACTCCCCGATATTGTCTTGCGTCTCCTGAAAGACTGTCCTAGAGAGAAATCCGGCACACGCAAGGAGTTGATCGTTGCGATTCGCCATATCATCAATTATAATTTCCGCAAGATCTTTATTCCCAAGATTGATGAGCTCCTGGATGAGCGGACACTCACTGGTGATGGATTGACGGTGCACGAGACGATGCGACCTTTAGCATACAGCATGCTTGCAGATCTTATCCACCATGTCCGAGACTCTTTGAAGCCAGAACAGATTAGGAAGACTGTTGAGGTCTACACTAGGAATCTGCAGGATAATTTCCCCGGTACAAGTTTTCAGACAATGAGCGCGAAGCTTCTCTTGAATATGGCAGAATGCATAGCGAAATTACCCAACAAGGTGGATGCGCGACATTATCTGATCATGATTCTGAACGCAATTGCCGACAAGTTTGCTGCCATGAACCGGCAATACCCCAATGCTGTTAAGCTCTCTGCTCTGTACCGTGAACAGATGAAGGCTGGCACCCCTGAGACATATTTAGCAGACAAGGACAGTCCCCCCGACTGGGATGAAACCGACATCTTTTCTGCAGTACCAATCAAGACGTCGAACCCACGAGATCGAGGTGCTGACCCTGTCGTTGATAACAAATTCCTCTTTCGAAATTTAATGACAGGCCTAAAGAACACCTTCTACCAGTTGAGGACATGCAACGTTGGGTCACCTATTGACGCTCAAAATGCTCCCACGCACTGGCAGGATGTTTCTTATGGTTTCACAGCCGAAGAGGTTAAGGTTATCATTAAGCTCTTCCGAGAGGGCGCGTATGTCTTCAGATACTACGAGATTGAGAAGCCAGCAGCGGAGTC